AGAACCATTCAAGATAACGTAACCAACCAATTTTTTTCAGTCGATTTCTCAAATTTCGCGCATCTGTTGAGCTAAAGGCGAGCTCTACAATTTTTTAAAAATAACAAATTACAAATGGCAATAACTCGACTTTTTCAAATACAACACCTTATATTTTGTTGCATCATTGCTAGGCATTTTTTATGAGCTTTTCGTCGATATAGGGATTGTGGAGTCTATTTTGTAAAATTTGTGAGATTTCTGCAAAATGAGAAATGTTAATGGTTTTTTTTTGAAAAAAAAACAAAAAGGAATCGAGTAGGCCGATGTCGTAAAATTTGACACATCCATATACAATTCTGAAAAGAATATGTTTTAACAAAATGAAATTGTAATAGAAATAGGAGTAAATCACAAAGGAAATAATTATAGTAATCTTTACAAGAACATAAAAGGATGATTGACAGGAAACAATATGAAAATTTTGAGAAAAGTCTTCTTATAGAAAATGAAACAAGCGTTACTTCATGAAAGGTTTCCGTCAAATTTTACGACAGCGGTCTACTGGATTCTTTTTTTTTATTTTGCAAAAATCTCACAAATTTTAAATATAAAGTAGATTCCACAAATTTTATATTGGCAAAAGCTTATAAAAAATGCTACGCAACGGTGCAATAAAATATAGGGTGTTGTATTTGACAAAGTCGAGTTATGGCCATTTGTAATTTGTCATTTTCAAAACATCTTAGTAGGAACATTGACTCTAATTTCGCCTTTATCTCAGAGGCTGCGCTTAAGAAATCGACTGGACAAAAGTTGGTTAAGTTCTCTTGAATTAACTAAAGTTATGAATTTTTCTGTGAATCTATGCACGACGCTACTTTGACACATAAACTGATATAAGTCAAAAACTATTGCAGATAAGTGTAAAAAACAGAATGCGTTATATTGACAATTTATTGGATGCAAAAATGTACCAAAAATTGGGGGTTTTCATTTAAAAAAACAAAACTTAGTTGTATATCTTATTTTGGGACACTCTGTATTAAATAGAAATATTTTTGAACTGTGCTTCATTATTGGACCAACCATTTAAAAAAAAATCAAGTCGATGGCTTCGAAAAAAAAAGTTATAGAGCTTGCACGCACCCCTGGGTCACAAATTCTCAATTTATTATAGTTAAGTTGAAAGCTTTGGTTTCAGAAATGGATTTTTTTGATCTTGTTTCAAATATAATTTATAAAAGTATAAAGTATATGTTTTAATTGGATGCTAATTTTCTTAAGTGCGTGTGAATAAATTTGCCGAGACCCACAACAAAGCATGTTGAACAATTTTGTTAAAGCTTTGTAATAACACTATTCTCAAAAAAAAATCATCAACACCGATAGATAGTCAAGACGCGCTTCCAATAAATTCAGAGTTTTTACTTTTGTATCCAAGTGTACTCGCGTCCACTCCTAATATTCCGTCAAGGATCGAAACCGCACCGCACCTAAACAAAGTCCTTTCAGGACGCGGCAGGATCAGAGAGAGTGACCTGCGGACGGTTCGTATTAAGGATGTCGTTTCCATTGTCATCTTTCACAAATTTAATCAAAACTGCGGAGCGGAAATTGCATTTGGCTTGTATATGCTTCTTTAAAATGAAAGCACCGAGCTTTTGATTATTGCTTTCATCATTTTGTAATTCAGTTTGCGATGCGGCGGACATTGGATTAGACATTTGAAAGAAATTTGAATCGAAAAATTAACATCAGGCCATTTTTGTCGAATATTACCGGAAGAATCGAATAATGAAATTCCAAAAGTTTAGCGGCGCGTGCAGAGGTGTCGTAATGACTCAAAGCTTTGCTAATTGATAAAGCATTGCGTCCTGCAATATTGGCATATTTCATACTTGCGCATCGGGCGTTAATAGCACAATTATAATAAATTTGATTGCACTGAATGGCAAAGACACGTTAAAAAAATCTAAAAGCAATTCATTATTTCGCTCATTCGAGTGGACTTATCCAAGAAGCGTTGCAAAAATGGCCGCAACCACTTCAAAGCAACTCCTGCTAACGACGCGGTCAGTGTAACTGTAGATAAAATAAAAATAAGGGGCGTCTAAAGTGACGTCATTAAATGGGTGAAATCGGAACGTTGTGTATAAAGTCGTCAAATAAAAAACCATTGCCGGCGACGACAACCGGAGATTGTCTCTTGTTTGCACAGTGGCCACACTACGCCAGATTTAATAAAGCACATGTCCGATGTTTGTATTTCACATCTGCTCGTCAAAAGATCCGTTTTTGTATTGTTGATTTTTCTCGATTAATTAAAATGTGCAGTTTAGATAAGTGTTTGAGCAATTGAGGCATTCGAGGACTTGTTGCGCCCTCGAGTGTAATCAAGCGAATTGTTCGCCTGCCTCCTGTAGACCCAAATTGAGGCAGTGGCGCCCCCAAATCTCCCCCGAACAAAATCAGGCAAAATTAATTTGTAGTAAAAACTAAAATTATATTTTAGAAACAACAAACATGTTTTTACTTTTTTTATTTTGTAAACTGCGGCAAAAACTGTACCTTAAACGTTGTAATGTTTTTATGCACATGTACAGTGTTTCGAGAAATCGATTGGCATCGAGAAAAATGCAAAATTCTTGATCGTTTAGAAGTTATAGTTGAATTAATATTTTGGATATTTTTGACTTTATCAGCAATTTTCTCAATAACTACCTATTTAACGTAAAGCAATTATCTTTTTTTTATATGATAAAAAAATAAATTTGCTTTCCAACGGTACTAAACACAAAAGACTAGCGTCAATTTTGACAAAAATCGAAAAAATTAAAAACTTCAAAATTGAACAATTTGCACTCTAGAGGGTTCTAGAGATTTGATTTAAAAAAGTACAAAAACGTTGTAAAGACGCAAAAAATAAATTTTTGATAAATCTGTAAATATAACTATAGAAATTAAATATTTTTTTATTAATTATTATTATTAAAATGTAATACAAATAAATTTAAAAGAGCACCAGAGCTTTTTACATGTACATGTACATGTACACATGTACATGTTTTTTTATTTGCTGGTGAAGGTAGTGTGAAACAAGAACACGACATGACCTCCGTCTGTTTTTTTAAAATTTGACAGCTTTTGACATTTTGGTACTAAAGTCAAAAATTAAAGCTTCTCCCTGGCATTAGGATTTTTATAGGACTTGAATTACGATTATTATGATGATATAAAGGTTATAAATATTAGCTACAAAATAGTTTTCCCCATTAAAAATGAAATTACCTACAAATGACCTACGTGACAGTAAGACACACTTTTGACGTACGTCACTAGCTCTGCGTTACTTTAATCGCATTTGTTAAAATGAGATAAATAGCGTGACCGACCTTACGCAAATACGTAGCGAGAAACAAACAAGGCTATTTACAAATGCTGAAAAGAGTTAGCGATTTGGTACGTCTTTCGAATTAATTGATCCACACGCATAAATAAAAAAACGGACTTTACATTAGTAATAATAATTTCAAAGTGAAGTTATTATCCACGGCCCGTTATGCATGAAATGTCAACCGAATTACACTGCTGTTCCATTTTTCCGGACACCTTTAAAATTAGTCAAATCCTTTTTTTTTTTTAATTTGGTCGCAAATTTAGTAGGGACACGGAATTTTTGACATCAAATTTATGTCAGTTCAAAAAATGTCAATCTAAGCCATTATGATTGACGTTTGAAACTAAAATTTGAAAGTTTTAGTTGAAATTTATTGTTGGCGTCGATTTTCCGAAACAATAATACCAGCAATATGTGTTTTTATATAAGTTTAATAAATTATTTTGACTTGTTCTCATTTTTTCTCTAGCTATCAGGACAAAAATTACAAAAACGTAAGTCATCAGGTTAGTTGCCTAAGGCCCGTTTTACATTTTTGTCAATCGAATAACAAATCGTCCAAAATTTCGGGTCCGCCACTGTGTCATTTCAAAAATTAATACCTAATAAATGAATATTAAATGATTTACATTTTCACAACGAAATTGTTTTTTTTTTATAATATAATTTGGCCTGTTAATAAATGCCAGTGTTTTGACGTTGTCTTTGTCACAATTCACAATTTCGTAATTGTCAGGCACTTTCAAACTTCTATCAAGTTTGTCATTTCAAAAATTAATAATAAATGAATATTATAAATGATTTACATTTTCACAACAAAATTGATCTGATGACAAATTAGGTACACTTGAGTGCAAAAAAACGAAAATTTCATTTTTTTATCATGTAATTTGGCCTGTTAATAAATGCCAATTTTTTGACGTTGCCTTTGTAACAATTCACAATTTCATAATTGTCACGCGCAATTTCAAACTTCTATCAAGTTTTTCCATTTCGTTTTTAACACTGACTATGACACTGCACTGGCAAGACCACCAAGTACGACATTTTTTTTGATAGTTTTTTAACCTTTTTGGAAACAACCTTTTTCACACTATATTATGTAAATCTCTGAAAAATTTGACAATTTCGTTTTTGACAATTTACGTTTTTTTGCACTCAAGTGTACCAAACTTCATGATGCCAAATAGTGTATTTTTGTAAATTTAAGTACTCTCATTTACACAGGAATAATTAATTTTGTATACCAAATGTAACAATGACGACCACTTTTTTGTATTTGACTGTACGTGTGCAACATCCTTTATAACCGTAGACATATTCATGTTATTTGTAATTAAAAACATCCGTCTTAAAGAGTTATGAGAATAAAGCCCATACCACATCGTATTTTTTAAATAATGAGTGCCCGAAATTTTTTACAAACCCTCCCCCTAAACTCTACGCCATTGAATTGAGGTCAAGACAGCACTAGTCGTCAAAACGAATTTTCGCGGAAAGTCGACACTAATCCCATTTAGCGGACAGCCCCCGCAATTATGTCAAATCCTCGGAGGACGTGAAGCCCGTTATCCACCTTTGATAATTAACTCGGCATTATTTTTCTCAAGCCTCAACAATTTCACGATAATTAAACGATTTTTTTAAGAAAAAGAAAACTTTATTTAAACTATAATTATACAAGAAATATCACCAATTTCCAAACAATTTCTTCCCTCGTGAGTTTTTCCCTTTTTTATCAACAGCCGGGCTTAAATCATCGAGTCGCAACTTTTTGATTGCAATCGGCGTACTTTCGGCCGCTTTTCTTTTGTTATTATTGACCCTAACTGTGCTAGTTTCTGCCGTTTGGAACACAAAACATTTGGAATTTTTTACCGAACTTCCTATACTTGTTGTTACTTTATTATACTCGGCTAGTCTTTGTAAAACATGGTCTTTTCGGGTTAAAAACGACCCTCTCTTGCTCTGAAATATCGTTAGTTTTTCTTAAAATAATTAACTTCGCCGCTTACCAATAATAGACCAAACGGTTCTTCAGTTTCCTTGTTAACAGGTGTGTTACTTTGAGACGTTGATGATTTAATTTTTAACATCTTTTGACCTAGATTTAAAATTTGACTATCACCTAAAATAGAGTCATCATCATCCGTATCAACTTTCTTCTTCAAAAACATTTCTCTCTTGTGGCGCATTTTTCTGAAATGTTCTTCACTTTCTTCTTCTTCGTCCAGAAATATATCGTCGTCGTCTCGTTTATCAAACTCGCCGTTGTCTTGTGAATCTACGATCGGATTTTTTTAAATAATTAAATTATAAATAATTTTTACCAAGAGTTTTCCAACGGAATTGTCTTTTTCGCCCTGTGCCATGTAACTCGCCGTCTTCTAGTAACAATTCTTGGAGCAATTTCACTTCCCGATTGTCTTCATCCAACATTTGGCGCCTAAATTAGAAATTAATTGAAAGTCTCAATTTCCTCGACACTCACATGTGAATTCTCTCTATTTCGGTCCTCATTTTCTTCTCATTGAATTTTTCTTCATCTCCTTCTTCGAAGTCTAACTCATCTAAACCTTTCTCGTCTTCATCAGCACTCCCCCACTCAGATTCCGACAATTCTGCTTCTTGATCTAGGAAGTCTTTCAGTTTGAAATTTGACGATTCTTGTGCTGCCACTTCATTTTCCAATTGTTGTTCTTCGTCGTCAATGACGTTGTCGTGCAAGTCGATTTCTTCTTCTTCCGGTTGAGGGTCAGTATCATCTGAATCTTCTTCCTCATCCGAGAAGACTAATTTCTTCTGTCTTTTCTTCTTTTTAACTTCAAGTCCTTCATTCTCGTCATCGGAATTGATGAGACCTGTGGCGTTAACTTCTTCAACATCCTCCAAAGGCTGGGTTTTACGAACAATTGGATTGATCGGCGATTCGAATTTTTTCTTAAAACGTTCAAACTCGTCTTCATCGAGCAATTGGGAAATGATTTGGTCCTGGTCTTCGTCAAGACTCTTAATTTCGGTGTTTGTGTGAATTACAATTTTTTCTGGGGGCGGTTTCTCAAACTGAGAGGCATTGTCAGTGATACCAAAATCACCAGAACAGACATTTAATAATTCCTGAGTGGTTGGGGGCAACTCCTCCCCCAGTTTTTGCGTTTCAGGAAATTTACCAGAACACAACTCGGCTAATTCTTCAATTTTGCCCTAATAAAAAATTCAACTTTCATAATTATTCAAGTTGTTTTGAGATTCACCTGTGTATCCGGTAATTCTGTAAAATTTTCCGAAAATGAATTACTTTTCTCAGATTCCAGTGATGGAGAATTTAATTCTTTGGGAGACTCTTTCGACTGAAATAAAAATGCCATCAAACCCGTGTTTAGTCTGCGGTCCGCGCATTTTTTACCTTTGAATCTGAATTTAAGTTTTGAAGGCCTGTTAAGTAAGTCACCGGCGTTAAAAATTCAAATTCGGATTTATTTTTCTCGATTTGGGGGCGCTGAGGTGTTGTTATATTTACACGTGGGAGATTTGGTGGCAAAAAATCATCGTCATCAGTCGTGTAATATTTTACAATTTTCGCCGGTTCATCCTTCTGACTAGATTCAGTTTCTTCATCATCTGAATCTTCAGTGAAGGGTTTCACAATTCTTCTCAAGACTTTCTTCCTGGGACTTTCCAAATCTTCATTATCTATAGCTTCATCATCGGCGTCGTTTTCGTCATTTTCTTCAGCAATTTCCTCATTTTCTTCAACAATATCCATACCCGTTTCTTCGTCGTCTTCATTTATTTCTTCTGGGTCATCTTCTTCCGCCTAAAAAGCACAAGAAAGGGTTTTCTAAGAATGAGTAAATATTTTACCTCCTCGTCAAGAAAAGCCGATTTCGCTTTTGGTTTCTCAGGTTTTAATTCATATTCCTCTTCATCTCCTTCGTCATCTTCGGACTCTGATTCAGTCATTTCAAATTCTTCTTCCTCATCATCTAAAATATCTTTTTCGGTGTTAGAATCCTCATCAGTTATTTTTTTCTCAGGGAGCAGAATATCGCCTTGGTCCTGTTTTTGTTTCCACATTTCTAGCCTTTTTTTAGTCATTTGAACTTGTAATTCTTCTCTCAGTCTCTGTAATTTTGCTCCGGGAGTTTCAATTAAAGCGTGCTCTTCTTCTTCATCATCCACATTCATTGAAACTGTTTCTTTAATAATTTCACCATCTTTTCCGACTCCAAGAACACTAAACAAAAAAAAAACAATAATTTACAATAAAATAATTAAGAAAAACATACTCTAAACAAACTTTGTGTTTGTGTGAAACTTTTTTCGCCGTATGTTGAAGGTATTTTTCTACTAATTTTTTAATTTCGTTAGGTTTTGTAACACCTTCTTCTAGATCAATTATATCGTCAGGAGTGCCTGATAATCTAGGTTGAAGATTAAGCTTGTCTTTCAATAGCTCCAAAGTGTTGGCTTTTTTGGGCACTTCTTCAATTTCTTTCAATACTTCGGAATTTTCGAGATTTGTTTCTTCATTTTGGTCACCTGAATGTGAACATTCCATTGGTTCTTCCTGGTCAAATAAAGAATGATTCTTATCTTGGTCTTGACTCCTTTCTCCATTGCACTCTTCAACAATCATTTTACTTTCAACTGAGTCTACAGCTTTATCAATCAAGAAATCAAGCCAGCTTCTAATTTCTTTTGCTGCATCTTTGGCATCATCTTCTTCTGCTTCTTCTTCACTCTCATCAGACTTGTAAAATTCTTCAACTTCCTTAATTCTTTCATCTAATTTTTTTCTGTAATTTTTTTTTTAACTGTTTTCTTGTTTAGTGACAAGGAAACTTACGAAACTTGCTCCAACTGATCCTTTGTCATTTTTATCGCCACAGAAGGGGGCGCTTTGGGAATTAGTGGCAAGGCAGAAGCTAACTTAGCCCTTTTTTCTAAAAACTCTCTAATACTGTAGGATTTTGGTTTGTGATAAGGTAAACTAACGTTAGATTCGCGCAACATTCGTTGTGATTCTGACTGAATCTCGATTTTTTGTTTCGCAGCTTCTTGTGCCGTCATCTGAAAAAATTTAGTTCAACAATGCAAAAATTTACAAAAGACTTGCTTTTTTTGGCTTGTCATCATTTCGTCTTGATTTCCTATAAACTCTAGGCTGTAATTCTGTTTCTTCTACATCTTCAGTAGTAATTTGGGTTGTTTCTTCCTCGGAGCTATCAGAATCGTATAATGAATAACGCGATTTCTAAAACAATTATTTTAAATAGCTTGGGGGAAATACTCGAAATGGTACTTTAATATTAGTGGTAGCAGTTTCTTGGATCAGTTCTCCTTTACTGTTGGTGGTGTAAATTAGAGCCTCAACTGCCGTTGCTTCATCTGGAAAACTCTTATTGTGAGGCGAAATTTCTTCTTCTTCTATCACTGATTCATTATTGCCACCACAGTTTTCTTCTTCTGAATCGCTGTTTAGCATTGTTATTCTCTTCAAATTCTTCTTTTTGGTAATTTCAGTATTGGGAGTTTCTTCCTGGTCATCGAAATGCTGTGCCAGTTCTGGGGGCGACTTCTTACCCAAATCTTCAGTTTCTGAGTCACTATCAATAACGTTTTTGCGAACTTTGCGCACATTGAGTGTATTCATTTCGTTTTCGTCTTCTGACTGTCCACCACTTAATTCGTTTTCTTGTGTTACTTCCATTTCCGTATTGTTTATACTCGAAAAACATTAACCCCACTTGACACAACAATTTTTCCCGCTTTTAAATTGACACACAGGCTGGCCAACCAGTAAAGAAAAATCACCAAATTTGAATTAAAATATTGGCGCCAAATTCAAAACTTGTAATAGGAAGTTGCCAGTAGAAAATACTGATTGTGATAATTAAATAAAAGTCTTGTGAAAAGTGTAGTAGAATTTTTATTGCTATTGTATAAGTCACAATGAAGGAAACTTGGTATATAATAAATAAATGTTTTATTTACTTTAAGTTCTAGAGGTATCTTTTCGATGATGATACAAAATTAAATAACAGAAACAATAAAAACTCATTTTAATACAAAAAAATTAAAAGTGATGAAATGCCTACGTTAACTACATTAAAAAGGCAGGTACTAGCACATTAAACTTAGTAAAGAGTGTGCATACGCCATTGGTTTTACGTTTGGATGGGGCTATAACAAAAATAAATGTACTTTTTATCTCACAAAAACTCAGAAAACATACCACTGCTTCATATGTAGTAAACTTAGGCTCCATATCTTTTCCTTTTAATGTAATAAAAGCACCTTGATTACCCATGGTATCACTGAAAAACCAGTTAAGTATAAAAAACATTTCAAAAGTAAATTTACCAGTAGTTGGGAGCGGAAAACACCGTGATACATTTTCCGTCATGAGCAACTTCATATCCGTTATTTTTCACTTCATGACTCCTAATAATGTAATCCAGTTTATTTAATTCCAAAAACGTCTTTGTAACGTCTGGTCCAAACTGACACCCAACTCCTCTTTTACTCGGCGCGCGTCCATTTTGGGTCTGCGGATCCGACCAAAGCAGTTCACACATGGGGCCGTCTTCGGGGGGCTGTCTGTTGCGGTCAATTTTACTAATTTCGCTCAAAGTTACATCATCTCTGGTAAACAAACCGCCATGCATGACCTACAAACACCTCATTTTACGCTAATTTTAAATTTTCGTGACTTACAAGAACTCTTTTATTCAAACAGTGAGCTAATGGTAACCAATTATAAACCTCAGTGAAGAGTTCAGCCATTTGAGCCGTGTATTTAGCCTTGACCTCACCATCGAAACCGTACATTTGGTTCATTGTGGCGCTTTCGTGGTTCCCTGAGAATTTTTTTTTTAAAAACAGTTCAAAAATTGAGTGATTGTACCTCTGGACATGAAAAAGTGGTTAGGATACAACAATTTGAATCCAAAAAGTGTAAAAATACATTCAACCGAAAATGAACCTCTGTCGACAAAGTCACCATTGAAGAGGTAGGGATTTGTTTCAGATGGCAGACCGTTCAAGTTAAAAATGTTCATAAGGTCGTAAAACTGACCATGGATATCACCACAAACAGTAAATTTATCCTCAGGACCGATTTCAACATCAATCAGTGATGGTTGTTTCATAAAATACGCTTTAACATCTAACAAGATCTAAAACAAAAAAGTTTTGATTCGTTCCCAAACAAGTTGTAGTTGTGTTACTTTGTAGGCATACTTCCTGTGCAGTTTGCCCTGATTTTTATACAATTCCATTAAATCTTTCATGAATTTTAAAGTCACCTTTCCATCCTCGAGCTCAGGGCCTGTGTACTCGTTCTCTATTGCTGTAAAAACACTCACAAAGTGCCCTCTTCGAAAAAAAAAACACTTACTCATTGCATCTAAATTAATGGTACTGGCAATATTCTTTTTGGTATCTTCCACTGAAATAGCCTTCTCAAAAGCCAATTTCTTCACTATTTTGTTACACTCCGTATATTTGGACTTGGCGTCTTTGTCATTAGGCCTCACTTTTGTCACCTAAATCCAATTTTGGGGTAGTAACACACCAGGAAGGGCTACAACTTACATATTCGTAATCCTTTAGGGCTTCTTTAAACTTGCCCAAGCTCATGTGGGCCGCAGCCCGTCTGTAAAACCCCTTAACATAGCCTTTGTCCAGCTCAATTGCCTTCGAAGCATCGGCTAAAGCGTACCCAAAGCACTCGGTTTTCAAGTAAGCGAAACTACGATTGCCATAATAGATCGCCACATTCGGATTTGCTTCTATTGCTTTAGTGTAAAGTTCTATAGCGGCGTTGTAATTTTGTTCTGCAAGTGGGGAAAAAAGTGAGGTTATGTCAAATTCACAGCAAATTTATGCAATTTTCGCGGTGAATTCCAGTGAAAACGTGAAATACAATTAAATGAATTACGTATGAGGTTATCATTTTGCAAATCATGTGGGTTTTAAGTAAATAATGAGCGGAACTTACTTTTAAAGTACTCGTTCGCTTCGGCTTTGTAGCGTTCACCAGCTTCGATTAATTCGGGAGTGAGAACACAGTTTTCTGTAACTTCTGTATTCATTTTTATTTAATTTTGTACCTTAATTTTAGAAATTGGATGAAAAAGTCTTTAAAATCCCTTCATTACTTTTCAAGGTAAAAAAATAGAGGATTTGTGTTTGCGCAATTGTTGCCAACTTAAAACACCCGCCATAATTCAAACAACTGTCATTATTCAAAACAATTTATTACAAAAATCACACCAAAATACTTAATTTCACCACCTTTGGCTTGGTTTTAACTACAGAGTAGTGTATAAACAGTCATTTTTAAAGCTTGTTTTTTAAGTGAAGCTGAACACTTTCAAATTTCTCCTGAAGCACCTGTGCTGGAGGCACAAACTCACCTAATCGATTTTTAATTAATAATACTTTGGCATTATTGATTTCATAAGTAATACTGCCGTTTCTGCAACATTTAATTAATTTTCAGGGAGAAAAATTATAAAATCCTTACTTTCTACTTTTTGTCACAACATTTTGACCCGCAAGGGCATTCAGACAATTGGTAATTGTGTCCAAACTTAGAGAATAAGGATGGATGAATCCTTTACCTTCATTCATCTTCGTTTCAACTTCTTCTTGAACTTTGGCCAAAATTGTTTTCTCTCCAATAACACGTCCCAACTGTAACACTCGTTAAAAAAATTCAAACGAACCAAGTATTTTACCTCCAAAATAACCGAACACACCACGAAATAAGTGAAAATAAAACAGTCAATACAGTTGTAAATAACTTCCTCCAAGTGTTTATTTTCACCGAGATCATAAAATTCTTGATTTTTCCGCAATAAATTTAAATTGAGTGCATGCTCTAACGCTGAAGTGAACTCCTAAAAGAAAAATTCACTGGTAAGTGTCAGTTTTCAAAAATTACAGAAAGAGAAACCCACACACCATTTTTTCCCTGGTATTAAAAGTAATGAATTCCTGGGACAACAGAGACCGCAAGAAATGGTAATGCCCGAAAAGTTCATCTGTACAGAAAGAATGCAATTACCCAACATGCTATTTAGTAGAAAATTCTGACTACTATTTTAGCCCAAAACAAAAATTACCTTGACTGGAGACTTTTTGTTGTTTTACAATCATGACCAGGATAGCCACGTCCACAAAATAATGCAAAGTCGGGTTGATATAAATTTGTAACAGAATGAATGGAACCGAGAACGTGATTGTCTTTTCGGAAAGTTCGTGAGCTTTCAATTTGGAGACATTAACTTTGCCCACGACTATTTCATCCCAGACCAGAGTGACTTTTCCCTCTTCATTGACCCTCACGAAATTGTCGTGGACTTCCAAAGCCTCCGCCACGCATTTCCGGGGGTCTTCCATGAAGACGTAAGCCCCCAAACTTTGAATAATTGTCCTGAGCCACAAAATCTCGTCAATAATCTCATCAACACTCAAAAGACTTCGTCCACTGGTTAAATTATTGTGCAAAACAATAGCCAATAAATTAAACGTTGTTATAACACAATGCTTTTGTTGTTTATAAACAATCTCATGCGCCAGCGACGGAATTAATTTCTTTTCATAGTCGGTGATTTCTTGCATGTGAATTGGTTGCAAATTATGCAAAGTGCGGTCCAAATTCGGCCCAAAGAATTTTTTCGCTGAGATCGGTTCAGCGAAATCGAAATAAATCGAACCGAATTTTTCTTTAACGATACTCAATGATTTGAAAAACCCCGAAGTTGACTCTTTCGGCTTGGGGATACCGAGTAACTCAAAAGCGAATAATTTTTCCTCCAAAATTCGGTCGTAGCTGATGTTGATTGGGACAAAAAGGACGTCGGGGACTTGAGACAGGAAAAAAGCCCTCAGAATCATCAAAATCAAGCCGTATTTGGGCATGAGCGACTTGTTTGTCCGACTTCTGGTCCCTTCAATGAAAAATTCCAGTGGCAAGTCGCCCTTCGTGACGAGTTGGTAAACATATTGCTTGAAAGTGGTCCAATATAAATTGTCGTCATTGTATGAACGTCGCATGAAGAAAGCCCCGGTGTCTCTCAACATTGTTCCCATCCCCCACATGCCATGAAAATCTATTACAAAAAATTAGCATGTTTGGATGAAGATGGGGGCTAAATTTTACCCATTCCTGCCGCTATGGCCGGTATTGCGACATCTTCAGTGAAACACACGAAGGACATGAGAATGAAATCCGCATAACTTCTATGACTAGGTACAAAAATCACAGGACAAGTTCCCATTTGAGTTTTCAGCTATCAAAATAATCATTAATCAGCACTTAACCTTTACTTTCCTTGCCCAACTTACTTGTACTACTGCGTCCTCATTTAGGTAAATCCCTGAACAAATTCTCTTGCAAATTTTTGTAAGAACTATAGCCAGGCATCTTATAACTTTCAATTTTTTGTTGTAACCAATTTCATCTAAAATACTCCTGACCTGAGCTTCTAATACTTCTTTGGCAACTCCTTCTTTCTCACTCAACTTAAATTTACAGTTATTGTCAAAAATCACTCGCAAATCGACTTACTGTGATCAGCAATTCCTGAATTTTGGGGCTTTTAACAACTTCATCTTTGTGGTATTGAGGCGACGGCTTTTGGTCTTGTTTGAATGCAATCTGGGGGTTGAGTTGCCTCGAAGCCCACATGAAATTGCTACATTCCTGTTTTCTGGGGGCCAAGATGTCCTGGTAACGTCTTGAGGAACTACACATGTCTTTAACCTTTATTTACAGAAGCATTGATACGATTGCGAACAAGTGTGGTTAAATACTACAACGCATTTTAACAAAGGTGTAATTAGAGAGATAACAGGGCTTATAAGTGTTTCCACTAACAATGAACTGTTTAATATTTATCATGACCGTGACAAGTTAGGTTAATTTAGGTCTTCTGTGCATTCGAATTAATAATAAATATTAGACGTTTGAACAGAGTAGCTCCTCTGTCTCCGAGCCTGGCGGAAAATTTGATTTTTTTATAAATAATTGAACAAAATACAAAATGGGTTTTATGAAAATGCAATTGCTTGTTTACCACTTTAAAGCTCATAGAATAAACTGCAATGTTGTTTTGCTGATGTAATTTAAGCACCTAGTAAATTTGTATTTCATTTGTCTATTTTTATCTTTAATTTCAATTGATTGTGAACACTCAAGGCTATAATTTTACTTATGGTTAATCCTACACTTAATTTGATTGAGTTTCTTTAACAATTATGCACTTTGCTTCTATTTTTAAACTTTAAACAAACAATTTGTTTTAATAAATTAATACACGATAATGTTATGTGGTATTATTGTATTATTCAATAAAATCGATTATTATGACGAATAGATTTACAGTTTATATATTACTTTACTTATGTACGTACTTACTCTAAAACTTTGTACGTAACACACGAAATTAGAAAAAAAATTAGGTACTTAATTACCTAATTTTATATTTTTATTAAGTATATCTATTGAGATATTCCAAAAGTTGAAACAAGATAAGGCAACAAAAATTGAACAGATTATTGGAAATAAAAAAATAGATACTTCTTATTTTTTGATGGACAAGAATGCCGCCAAAAATTCTGTTATACAAAACCAATTTAAAGAAAAAAAAACTGTCAGATATCAATCAGTTTTGTTTTATCGTAAAGGATCATCACACTATAATTACAAAAAACCGATAATGGTATCAGTTCATAATAGTACGAAATTTGTTCAGTTTGTTACTACTTACAGTAAAATAATGATAACAAAATTATGGCGGAACGGGCAATAAGTCAAAAAAAGCCCCAATTTTTGAATACTTTTGCCCCGAAAAAAACCTCTCTCGATGAATTAGTTAGAGATAAATTGGAACCTGGTAAATTTCTCTTAACAAAAACAGGATGGACGAAAACAATGGCTATGGTAAGTTAATTTATTTTAGCCCAAAAACTGGCCATATGTGAGAAAATTCCAGATTGTGTGTTTAGCAGCTTTGGCCTTATTTTTGCCTCAAAGTTGGGACCAGTGTTTCGACAAGCCCGACTGGTTCACTGTGGTTTTTCCTATCTGTGTTGGGTGTAATATTGTGGTACAATTTTTGTTTTATCTCATGTTTTCATGTGGGTGTACAGTGAAGTCTCCCGGAAAGTGGGTTACAGCAGTAGGTACTTTCGGGATAATGTTCATAGTCTGAAAGTTTGTCGTAGGACATCATTTCAAATTTAATATTTTCTTTCGTTGGAATTATTGGCTCGGTGATGACAGTGGCATCAAACGTGGAGTGTAAGGAAAATCCAACCATGCATAAAGTGCCAGGGGTAACAAAATTACGAAAAAAACTGTTTTTATGCCGATTTTAGTTTTTAGGAATTATTGGTGGGGTTCTCTCGGTTATGGGTTGCGCTGCTATATTTCTAATGTATCGATATGTGGAAGAAGAAGAAGACGTACCAGCTCCTCAAACGCCCTTAGAAAGAAACATAGATCTCAGAAAGTCAATACATGCCTAGTTATGTCTTTTACAATTTTTAAAACAATATTTCTATTCAGAGTGAGAATAACTCCGATTTTGAGATTAATTTATTACAAACATGCGCGAGAAGCATTATTACAATAAACAGAAAAATATCATCATATTTATTACTACTCATCTGACCTTCTATTATGTTATTACTTATTAGACTATTTTATCATTTTATCTTCAAAATTTTATATTATCAGACCACAATTGTGCTTCTTTTGTCGAGATAACAACCTTTTTTAAATATCCCAGAGATTTTTAGAGTTTTTTGTATATATAAGAGTTATACAAAAATTAAAAAAAAAACGGATTTTTCAAAATAGAAAATCATAGTTACTTGTGTATGCAACCAACAATAAGCCAGTGCATTACAGAAAAAAACTATTGCACCAAAAAATAAAACAGCAAGGTCACTTTGTTGACACATTTATAAATGTAAAACGGCCCTTAGGCAATAACCTCACTTTCAATTTTTAATGTCACTGTTGAACACGGCATTTTGAGGTTTTGAAAAGTCAAATTTGACGTTAAAGCCTGTTTTACGGTGAATTTTCAGAAACTGTCAAAAATTTGATGTAGAGTCGAAGATGTATACTAGTTTTTTTGGCGGACCATGGTACTATTGGTACTACTGAAAGTAGTGTCAGTAAAATACCAGTTTTCGAGGTGTACACATCGTAATACTTGGTGGTAGGAAAGCATACCCAGGTAGGTATGTTAATTAGTGAGAAGAAAATAACAATACCTAACTTCGAACCACGTTTTTAGATACTTAAACGAAAAATGGATGGAAAATTCGTTTTTACGTGTGATGTAACGACTAAAACAATAGATAATGACTGCACTCTCAACCCTACAGATGTCGAAAAAAGAGAACCCCCATGGTTGTGGGCAAGAAACAACAAATACAACTTGGAGGATGTGGATTATAGCAAAGTGGGAAAATGGATGTTATTTTTATCAAAGGCGGATGCAAACATGGTATGGAGCAAAATAAAGGAAGCTGTAAAATCGGGAGATCTTTGGGATGCTAAAATTTCAACATCTGAAGATTCTGATCCATTCCATGCCGTAATGATTTACACCAAGGACTACAGTGATCTTGATGATGTAATTAGTGTGCTTGATTTTCTTGAAACGTCGGGTTTAAAACCTCAAGATAAAATCATAAAGTATAAGACTGATAACCAAACAAGAGCTGGTGTTTATTCACGTTTCAAACAAAAGGCATCAATATATGACTCCCAAACAATAAGAGAACTAAAAAAGAACATACGGATTACTGATTATTTTAAGCCAATGGCGGGTTCAGGAAGCAATTAACACCAAAAAAGAAAAAAAATCCTACATTTAATGTTATTGTTCTTAATGTATTGTTTGAATTTTGACACTTTTTGAAAAGTTAGAAAACTTTGTCTTTAAAGACGCATTAAATAACACGAAACCCAATAATTGTTAACTCTTGTTATAAAATTGTATTTTTTATAGTAGCAAATAAAGTATTTTTTGTAACTACATATCTACTTACTTTCCACATCTCCGCACGACTTTCTTATAGCATAAGTGACTAGGTAGGAATAACACAAGTAGGTATTTTTTATTTTATTAAAACATATTTAATGGAAAAATATACAAAACCAAACATTAGTTATTCCTGATGAAATAATTAAGCAAGGTATTGGGTTTGGTTTTCTTCACTTGACTGCTGCAAAAATTCATTTCACTCGCCCTCCTCCTGCTATAATCGTCCCACAACTCCTTCTGCACCTCCTTCGGCAATTCCTTGAACACTTCCTTATCAGCGTCAGGGGGACACGAGACCGAATCCAGACACAAATCAGCAACCTTCAATTTCGAGGGGCTCTCGCAATCCTCGTAATAATCCTCAAAACAGCGTTTCTTCGACACCAGATTAGTCAATTTTAACTTTTTCGGTGACGGTGTGGGTGATTCCCCGCCGGCTAAAACCAAGCTTGAGGTAGAAGGAACCGGACTCTCGGCTTCCTCAACCCCATTCTGGTTTTCGATGCTGAGCACAGACTGAACTTCAAGATCCTTGCGCAAAAACGAAGCAAGAGTGTTCTTGGGGGGCTCTTGGAATTTCGTGAAGGAGAGGCCGAGCAAGGTGATGTGGTAGGGTTTCTTCACGTCGATTATTCGGTTGAAAAGGTGCATTATAGTGGTCATGATTTTGCTTTCTTTGTTTGGTTGGTTTGAGGCGAAGATTGAGGGGTTGATGTTGCATTGGCGGGTCTCTCTGTGGCTCATTTTGTTGTCTTTGTTGTACTTCCTGACTGTCAGTTTTATGGTTTTGGGGACACGGCCGTCCTCTTCCACTAGAAGCAAAAGCCGGCTTAGCAATTGTTCTAATTTTTTTCGCACTTCTTTCTCCACAGATATCGACCTACAGCTGTCTTCTAAACCAATACTTTGGGGCTTTCCTGTCGGCTTGACTACACTTTGGTCGATACCAAGACTTAACTCATAGACTAGTTTAGCTTTATCTTGTCCTAAAACCGTTTCAAGTCGCTTTAAATCAACACTTTGCAATTCTTCGATTGTTTCAATTCCGATACATTTCATTTGTTCAAACATAGCCCTGCCGATCCCTGGGATATTATTTGGTGATTTCAGGCTCAGAATTAGCTCTAAAGCGCTATTTGGGAAAACAACAGTTTGTTGGTCTGGTTTATGTCGTGCTCCTGCTATTTTTGCTAAAAGTTTGTTATGTGCGATTCCTGCACAAGACGTAAGATTGAGTTCTGATTTAATAACATCCCGGATTTCCTGTGCCACTGTTGTGCCAATTATTAGACGTTCAGTACACCCACACTCACACTTATCACTTGTGTCCCCAAATACATTCCCCACAAGTTTTAAATCACTTTTTTGCTTTAATTTCTCGTTTATTAGAGTTGTCACGTCCAGGTAATTCTCATCGAGGCCTAGGCGTTCCACTAGAGATGTGTATTTTTGCAGCAAATTGGTCACTTTGTATGAAGTTTGACGATAGTCGTGTAAATCCTCGCCGTTGACTAGGACGAGATTAGGGCACAATTTTTTCGCTTCAGAGATTAACATACACTTTTTTATACCAAATTCACGCGCTTTGTAATTGCTCGTGACGACAATGTTTTTCTGCTGAACTCCTAGTGGAACCGTTTGGAGGTTGGAGTTTTTATTCATTTCCACTTGGGCGTAAAAACAATCTAAGTCGATATGAATTATAGTACGGGAATGATCGTCCATCTCAAATGAAGACATTTTTGTTTTAAAAACTAAATACTGATAATTAAAATTTCTTCTTTGGAACCTTAATGAGGTTATATTTATTTCTACTGATTGACATTTGGAAATTGGAATAAACATTGACCAATCACGAAGCAGATGTTATGCGCCTTATTTAAAATTTGCAGGACTACCAATCCCATGACAAAACTAAAGTTTGTTTTTTTTTTAAATGGAAATTACCAAGTCAAAATTTTGGTGAAAAAATTGGTAGCAGCTTGTCTCCATAGTCACAAATTTTGTTTGCTCTTTGATTTTGCCCCTAGAAATTTTGTTAAAAAATTTTGGTTATGTGTTCAAATTGAGATTTTGTCAAAATTTTGACTTTTATGAAACTTGTGTGCCTGTTTGCTCTTTGAAAACGCCATAATTAAATACCTGAGGACAGACATCATTACCTTAGGTCTAAAGACAGAATTCAGTGCTAATAATTTTGATAGAAACACACCGCAAGTAAGCACAGTGTTGTGAACAAAAATGAGGTTCTTGCTACAAAAACTTTGAAGAAAAAGGATGTATATACAGAAAAAAGTTATTTAGCAAAAGATACAAGCAAGGTTTATGAAGACCGCCAATAAATTTTGTGTAATTTATTGAAATGAGCTCAAAGTTGATGCATTTTATAAATTTTTCTTCAGCTTCAGTTTCAAAATTGTTACTTTTACAACTCGTTCCTCAAAAACGATGCACAAGACACTGTTCTTTCCGAGGTTCTTCCTCATTCAAGTTTTTGTATTCTTGTCAATTTCTTGCTAAAAATTAAGAATGTTTAGCAAACCTGCATTGCAAATTGCGTTTACATTTTAACGGGTCCTTTTTCTAACTTCCTGCTTGCAAACTATTCGTTTCCAAAGTTCTAAAAATTGTTACCGCTACCGAATTTGTTTCTTTTTTGGTGTTTCATTTTTTGTGTTGACGTTTAATGACAAGGTTTTCAAATTAATTCGAAAAACCGGAACTGCCAACTTACTTTATTAAAATTACCATGAATGAATTTACTAGTGGTGCCAACGTTAAGACTGTTTGGCATTTCCATTAAAAAAAAAACAGACTTTATTAATATTTAAAAAAAACCTTCAGAACTGTTACATTTATTTACCTAGTTTGAGCTATTAGAAAGGCCATAACGACCGAGAGAGTGTGACAAAGGAGGGCCTTAATCCTCCCTCGGTCCTTAACAAAAATAATAGTTATTTATTGTAAAAGTGTGTTAGATAGCGTTTTATCCACGCAAGAATGTTTAAAAAAAAGAATGGTTAATTTTCTTAAGTGGATAAAACGCGACTAACACACGACTGCAATATAACGTTTTATCCACAATCACTGGCCCAAATTATTCCAAACTTAATTAAAAATTAAACTGACATTTAAACGTCACGCCAAATGTGCTTTCGGTTAAACGTAGTAAGCTGTTACGTGGTGCGCTGGTTACTAACAGTGAAATAAAGTTACTTTATTCCACTAGTGGATAAAGTGGTAGTTTATACGCATCTAAAGTGTGGAATAATGTCTCTTTATAGAGTGATTGGGGATAAAAAAATTCTATTTCAATGTCTCAATGAGCATAATCCACAACTGTTTTCAGTTCAGTTGTGACATTGTTCTTGGAAATATAATGGTCGGTATACTTTCATTCCGTCAGGAATTTCAGGTCATTAGATATCCAGCTGTGAATTGTCGGTGATTTGGGTGCACTACCCGGAATTTCATAATCTTTTTGTTTTGACCACTCGACGCAAAATTTACAAAGAAGTAATGAAAAAGGCTAAAATATGCAACAATATGGAACAACGAAAAGAAAACTTATATTTCTTAAAAATACAAAACAATTTTTATTACAAATGTCACTAGTTAAGAGAAAAGAAAGAAATTTTTAACACAAACAACAAAACCCAAAGGCTTAAAGAAATTAATTTTTATACTTATGATAGTCTTCTGAATAATCATCACTGTCGTCTTCTGAATAATCATTACTGTCCTCTTCATAATATGAGTCATCAGAATCATCATCATCATCAGAATGAGTGTAATCATCTTCATCAGAATCAGTGTAATCATCTTCATCAGAATCAGTGTAATCATCAGAATCAGTGTCATCATCTTCATCCATATGATAGTATAGTTTATAGGCTGGATAAAATTCATTATCCTCGTACTTCACGATTACACTTCCACCAGGCTTTTGGCTTGTATCAAATCCAGGAGGAGGTAAATTCATATTTTCATCACCATCGCAAACATTAGCAATCAGTACATCAGCCACAATCATTACTTTATGATAACTATCATCAGAATACCACGAAGCATATTTGGCGTTTGGAGAGAAACTTACTCCTTGACCAAATCTATGGCCTTTATTAGTACCAAACAATCGAAAATCGAAATTGTAGCGACAAATATTGTCCACATTGCACTTTTTTGTCCCATGAAACAATAATTCCTCTCGAACTGCCCCGTAAAGCGCCTGTTTTTCCTTCTTTTTCGCATGATACGCTTTTCTTAGAAACGGATTTTCAACTTTCACGATATTTTCGATCACAATCGAATCGTTCGTGATCATATTTTCAATTTCAGTATACATGAGATCATCGGGGTGCAAATTCTTACACCACACCACCTTTGATCCCAGTGTATCTATTTTTACATTTGGGTTTGTTTGGGGCCTTGACGGTTTGTGGGGGCCATTATTAGGCCCTGGTAAGTGTGAAGACGAAGGCATCTGATACTTAGTCGCCATTGTTTCGAATTTTGTTTTTATTTACAGTTCCAAGCGTCTCTGAAACAAGACATTTTTGAAGGAGATTCAAAAAACGTAAAGTGCGTAAAACTATCCGGGTTTAATAAAAACACAAGAAACTAACCTTCAAAAATGGAAAATTGTAATTTCACCAGTTATTTTTTATTACGATAATTATCAATTACATCAGCTATTGTTGCAAACACTCAAAAAAATTCTGCCTGATATAACGGATAATTATAAATTTACAGTGACACCAACCAGGCGTATAAAAGTTCCTAACTTGTATGCTTCTAATTTCAGAATTTTTGAAATGAAATTAACTTTTTTCACTCAAAAAATGATGTATTTAATAAATGATATTTCAAGAAAAGAAACTGCTCTTATCAGGACTAACAGAACATGCATTTTATCATTTCATAATAAGTTACCCAGTTGGTCACACTGTTCATAAGCATCCTGATACTTATAATTTTATTAGATATTACAACATTGAACCTTACACTCATTTTTATAAAAATAGATAACATTTATGTCACCTTTTCACAGTAGGTAAATAGAGTTATTCTTAAAAGGCTACTTTACAGCATTATGCCGTTGAAACAAATTAGAAATTACACAAAAAAACAAAATTGTTAATTGTAACAATTTATTATTATTGAATACTGCTAGAATTTAGGAAAATAAAATAGATAAGTATCAAGATTAAATGTGAATGCTTGGTTATAAATATAACTTGAAAAAGGCTAGAACATAGAACAAACTCAAATAAAAAACTTCAAAACTTAAGAAAAGTTATATTTCATAAAATCAATACAAAAAAAAACTATAAATTGAAAAAAAAATAACAGTAAACTTTTAACATAAAAAACTAACTCAAATTTTATGGCAAGATTTTAATTAATAATAATTATAGTAACCGCCGTAACCGTAGCTGCAATTGTGATAGTCATAATCTTCTGAATAATAATCATCATGGTCCTCTTCGTAATCATCATCATCATAGTCCTCTTCACAATATGAGTCTTCATAAAAATCAGTGTCATCATCGATATGATAGTACAGTTTATAGGCAGGATAAAATTCGTTATCCTCGTACTTCACGATTACACCTCCACTAGGCTTTTGGCTTGTATCAAATCCAGGAGGAGGTAAATTCATATTTTCATCACCATCGCAAACATTCGCAATCAGCACATTAGCCACAATCATTACTTTATGGTAACTATCACCAGAATAATAGGAAGCATATTTCGCGTTTGGGGAAAAACTTACTCCTTGGCCAAATCTGTGACCTTTATTCGTACCAAACAATCGAAAATCGAAATTGTAGCGACAAATATTGTCCACATTGCACTTTTTTGTCCCATGAAACAATAATTCCTCTTGAACTGTCCCGTAAAGCGCCTGTTTTTTCTTTTCGCATCATACGCTTTTCTTAGAAACGGATTTTCAACTTTCACGATATTTTCGATCACAATCGAATCGTTTGTGATCATATTCGCAATTTCAGTAAACATGTGATCATCGGGGTGCAAATTCTTACACCACACCACCTTTGATCCCAGTGTATCTATTTTTACATTTGGGCTTGTGCGGGGCCTCCGTGGTTTTGGGGGGCCATTACTAGGCCCTGGTAAGTGTGAAGATGAAGGCAAATGATAATTAGCCGACATTTTTTCAAATTATTCTACTTTGGGAACTTTGAACTGTGACCAAGTGCTTTGTTCACAGTTTCATGCGAATCTGAAACAAGCAATAACACTTTTAAAGGAGATGCAAATAATGTAAAGTAAGAAAAATTATCGGGGTTTAATAAAAATTTACCTTCAAAATGTTGAATTGTATTTTCACCAGTTGTTTTATCACGATCAACTATGCACATTAGGCATTACTGGATTATTGCAAATAGTGCAAATGCCTCAAAAAGTTCTACCTGTTAATCATAAATTTACAGTGATGCCAACCAGGCGTATAAAAGTCCCTAACTTGTACACTTTTAGTTTCAGAATTTTCGAAATAACTTACTTATTTTTTTCACTCAAAAGGTAGTGTACTTAACAAATGATGTTTCAAAGGAATTAAGGAAAAACTGCTCTGATCGGAACTAACACAACATGAATTTTATCATTTTACAATGTTTCGATGTTGGTCACACTGTTCATATAGGCATCCTTTTCTAACTTATAACTTTCATTTTGTATTTCCGAAAACTCATAAAAATTATGGAACAAAATGGCAAATTTTGCAAAATTTAAAGCATGTTTAGAAATAAAAGGGGCTCTCATTTAAAATATTTAATAGAAAAGTAAATATGAACATAGAATAAAGAATGCATACAAAAACAAAGAACATAAACAAAACTACATATAATTTTAGATTGCAATATTGAACCTTACACTAAGTTTTATAAAAGTAGGTAACATTTGTGTCACATTTTCAAAGTAAATAGTTTTAGTCTTAAAAGGCTACTTCACAGCATTATTTTATCAATTGCACACAAAACTAGATTTGTTACAATAATACCGCTGCGTTTTTAGGAACATAGATAAATCATTAACACTAAATTTAACAATTCTTTGGTTATAACTAGAAAAAACTTGAAAAAGGCTACAACAAACTCAAAAAAAATTAAAAATACCTGGTTTGAACAGTTGCATCATAGCGATCGCTATAGTAATAATTTGTGTCATAACGATAGTTGTTATAATGATAATTGTCATAACGATAATAGTCATAACGGCAGTTACCATAACGATCTTTATAACTTTGGTACAGATTGTCATAACGCCTTCTGTCCACATTATAACGATTTTTGTAATTGTAATCATAACGATAATGATTTTTACCTCTGTATTTTTCACGTAAATGGTAATGAAGAATGTAATATGGATAGAACTCATTATCCTCATACTTTACAATTACGCTCGCTTTTTGGTCTTTTTGACTTGTATCATACCCAGGAGGCGGCAGTGACATGTCTTGGTCCCCTTGGCAAATATTACCTATCAGTACTTTAGCAACAATCATAACTTTAGAGTAACTGCGAGGATCTGAGTAATTGCTTGCGTACTTGGCACTTGGGGAGAAATTCACTCCTTTGCCGAATTTGTGGCCCCTGTTGCTCCCAAAAAGCCTCCAGTCGAAATTATAAGTGCAAATACTTTCGACGTTCTCCATTCGGGTACCATGGAAAAGCAGAGCTTCATTAACCTTCCCAAAAGCGTACTTTTTCTCGCATTTTTTCATCTCGTACGCAATGTCAAGGACTGGATTGTTGACTTCAATAAGCTCGTCGATCACTAATGGCTTAAAATCTATTAAATCCTTGATCTTTAGAAACGCAGGGTCGGTGTAATGTATGCTTTTGTATGAAACGGACGAGGCCCCAAAGTGGTACTTGATTGTCTCGTAATTGGGGTTCACTTTGGGGCGCTTTATGCGGTGTCTCGGTGAAGGCGAAGCGCTGGTGCCGTCATTGGACTGCAGTCCGTTGCAAAAATCGTCATATTCATCATCTTCTCGGGCCCTTTTCATTTTCGATGTTACTGAATTTTAAATTTTGTCAGCTACCAACTAGTATTTTAAAAAGTTCAAACTTACCTCAATACTACACTTAAAAACTAAAGCAATAACAAATTCTACGACTTCTAAAAACAAATCTTAAAAACTAACGACTTAACAACACTTCAAAACTGTACTGAGTAAAAAATCCCCACTGGCAAGTTCAAAAGAAATTTCTATTACACCAATCACAATCAAGAATTCCGTGGCGCCAAACTTAAAGAAGCGAATGAGCGGTCGAGATTTATGCACTACTTTTGTCCAATGTTAGACTGGTAAAGGTGAAACCAAATGCGAACAATTCTTAGGACTGGTTCATTTATAAAAATTAAAACAAAAAATATTATTTATAATTTAATTTAACATTATTTGGACATAAGAAGCAACATCAATTTTAATTTCGCAATGTTTCAAAGAAAAACGTAAATTATTAAATAGTCATTGTTGTAGGTGTTATTTAACTGTGGTATTAATTATTAAAAATTAAGCGATCAACTTTATATTTCATAGGTGAAATATTTTATTTTGATTCAGGGGTTGTAATTACCCAGAGCTGTAACTCCCGCCAAAACACCCAAAACAGATGTCAAATGTCAAAATATCAACTTAACCTCGAATCCTCGAAAAATGAATTGAAATTTGCTAACATTTATTATATTTTACAATTCCTGTGTTGTTGTTGAAACTAAACCATGGATTTTCAGAACAATTTCAAGGATTTTCTTAAAGGTTCACTTTGTTTGGTTTGATTTTTTTCCATTTTAAAATCTTCACTAGCCGCAGATTCAGAACAAGACAGAGAGTTTAGGGAGTTGCAAGAAGCGATTGATAGGTCGAAGGAAACAGCAAAAGATGAGAAATTGCAAAGAGAGTTTGACCGGCAATCTGTGGAGATACGGAATTTTTACAAGAAAAGTGAAAAGTCTGATGACGCAGTTCCCAGAGGAAAAAAAATCATTCGAAGACAGAGGTCGCACCAAAAATTGCCCACTTTACATAAAGGGTTTTTGGAAATTGTGCACCATGACCCCGTGTTTCAGCTCCCAATTCCCACAAATCCCAAATTCAGGAAATACTCCATCTCGCAGCGGGCGAATTTACTATCAGAATCCTTTACACAGATTGATAAGTGTGTCACGAAATTGGCGCTAGAGTCTCTTGTCAGAGCGCCTTTTCCTTCCCCTATTCATCCTTCAAACAACTACAAAAACCCTGAAACAAGCAACGGAACTAGTAGCAACTTTGAAGAATTAGTGGACCAAATTCCAGTTGAAAATCTTTACGTCAGTCGCTCGGGTCGCCAGGTTAAACGAAAAATTTACACGGAACAGGAGGATGCCGATAGCGAGCCTGACTTTGCCGGCGCGATGAAGAAAAATAAGCCGGAAATTGGAGATTCAAGTACAAAAATCATATTAGACACTCCCTATGTTCCTGAAGAAGGTCTCATCACCGAAGAAAAAAATACAAGCACCAAACTCGCAAAACCGAAGAAAGAGACCCCAAGAAAAAGCTACTCCTTGAGCACCAAAAAGCCCACCAGCAGGTCTGATGCGATGTATGAAAAACTTCTCCAGGACGAAGAGAAACGAAAACAGCAAGAAGCGGAAATGGAAGATTTCGAGAAAACTCTCCCCACTTTGGAGAATTCCGAAGACTTTGTGATTGAGACAAGCCCGGTTAGAGAGAATGAGGAAAACTTTCAGAGGAGGAGGGTGCCTCCACCAGTTTTTGGTAAAAAAGCCAGGAAGCCGAGAAAAGTGACAAAACAAGAAGGTGCGATTTTTTAAGTGTGAACTGCGTTTAAGACTCTGTTTCAGATCCTGGCCCAAGTAGTGAAATACTTTCCGAAAGACCAGTATTAAAACCCAGCGCAGTCCTCCCTAAAAATTCCACAAAGTCCAAACCTCCCGGAAAATCGGTGACACAAGTTGATAAAATGAATTGCCCCATTTGTGACGGGGAATTTTTAAAGTCTGAAATTGAGGTAACTGAACGAATTTATGACTTAATAATTATTTGTTTTTTAAGGATCATGCCGCGTCCTGTGGCATTGAAGACGACGTTGTCGAGAATCTCATTCCTCAAAGTGGGGTAAAAAGATTAAAATGCGAAATCTGCAACAAGGATTTTCCTGCAAACGCGGAGTTTGAAGTTCATGTGAGGCACTGTATTGCCACACATCTTGTAATGTGATATTGAGAGTTGTTACAAAGGTGTCATACTTGAGCCATTCAGAGTTAAACATTTTGCGTTTTCACTCTTGTACAGTACATATTTATCTACGAGTAGTCTAGAGTCACTTATTAGTGTTAAAAATATTTTTGTAATACTTAAATGAATATTGTTTTCTTATCTCGTTGAAAATATAAGTAATTTTTATAAACCACTTGTGTTTATCTCACTATCACTTGCATCACAATGGTGTTAAGTTGCACAAAGTTTCTTTTGTTACTATTGGCCTCTTTGGTCAATGGGGTGATCCGTCAACGTCTCCACGGCGACTGGAAAGTGACAGGGGGTCCCAATGGTAAGCCCCTTGACTTATTTCAATTTGATTTTAATCCCCGTAGATACTACTATTAACGCCATTGTCCCGGGTGGCATATTTTCCGACCTCATGAAAGCTGGCCAAATCGGTGATATTTTTCACGGTTTTGGAGACTCAAATTACACTTGGGTCGGTTTAACTAACTGGACTTACAGCACGACATTTACAGGTTTAGCTCAAGTGAAATAATTACATTTTGTAACTCTTTTTTTACAGTCAGTGAAAAACTGTTAAGTCGCAGAGTTGTTTTCGTGGTTTTTGAAGGTTTAGACACATTTGCAACAGTTTCAGTCAATGGACAAGAAGTGGGATCAAGTGAGAACATGTTTGTTCGTTACAATTTCAACATTAAAGACCAACTCCATGTAGATTTAATTATTTAACTTGAAAGTGTGCTTTTTATTCAAAATTCGTAGGTTGGTGTGAATGAAATTTCGGTGCAATTCGCCTCAGCTGTGACTAGAGCCGAAGAGCTAGCGAAGGACCCCAGTAACAAATACGTAATCCCTCCCGAATGCCCAGTTCCGGAATACAAGGGCATATGTTACGTAAATCGTATCAGGAAAATGCAAGCTTCATTCGCATGGGACTGGGGCCCGGCTTTCGCTTCTGTGGGAATTTGGTACCTCCTCCAATTGTTTTTCACCAAAAATGACACTTTTCAAACAGGGAGCGAGTAGAATTGGTTGGTTTTGACGACGCTATTATCGAGTATGTGGTGGCAACCCCGTTAAAAAACCCAGGTGATGATTTTTGGACCGTTCCTGTGTCCGTTTATTTAAACGCGGGTGAAATTGCGACAATTTCTGGGAGAGTCGATGTAACTTTGCAAACATCCAAGGATGTCGACATTAGGACCACTAGTTTATTGAAACTGAATGACACAGTGGACGAGTTTGAAATCACAGTGACCACCACCCTACTGGTGCCCTCTGTACGTATTTTTAGTGTTTGAAACGCCCACTTGCAATAATTCCAGGACGAGGTGAGCACCTGGTGGCCCAACGGCTACGGCACGCAATCCATCTACCCCCTAGAAGTGACATTTGTCGGCGAACACGAGCAAGACATGAATACTGTCCTCATCGGTTTCAGAACAGTGGAACTAGTCCAGGAAAAATTAGCTCAAGGTCTCAGCTTTTATTACAAAGTCAATCAAGTCCCGATTTTCGCAAAGGGGGCCAACGCAATCCCAATTAGCATCCTTCCGGAACGCGACCGCGACGACTTCTTCGTCCACTACTCGCTATTTGAAAGCATGAAAAGCGCCTACATGAACATGCTCCGGGTGTGGGGCGGAGGTGTCTACAATTCGGAGCTTTTCTACAGTCTTGCTGACGATAACGGGATCATGATTTGGCAGGATTTCATGTTTGCGTGTGCTTTGTACCCCACAGATGATGCGTATTTGAAGTGGGTTATTTGATTTTGGGGCCCGGTTTGATTGGTTGTTTTAAGGAATGTTATTAAGGAAGTGAGACATCAAGTGCGACGGCTCGCGAGCCACCCCAGTGTGGTGATTTGGGCCGGGAATAACGAAAATGAGGCGGTTTTGGCGCAGGATTGGTACGACACCCGTGACAATTTCACGACTTATAAAAACGACTACGTTAAGTTATATGTCGATGTTGTGCAACCCACGCTACTGGAAATCGTCCCCAATGCGACTTATTTAACATCGAGTCCTACGAACGGTTTAGAGAGCGATGGGGAAGGGCACGTGGCCCAAAATCCCGGTGATTCCTTATACGGCGACGGTACTAAATACAGAGTGTTCCGTCTAAACCCCACATTATAAGTATTGGGAGTTCGAATAATCGTATTTATTTGAAAATTGGTACATAGCCATAAACCATTAAGTCCTCCTAAATGAAAATATTTTCAAGATAGCGGCACCGGAAGTCGGTCTCAACTTTCTTATTTTAAATGGAAAGGTATATTTTTTACTGTGTTTTTGGATTAATCGGGTTATTTTAATGGAGTTTTCATCAGCTTTCCCTATACCTAAATTTAGCCGTTTTTGAAATATTTGGAGTTTTTCAAAAATTTTTGGATTTGCACCTTCCACTTTAAAAATCGGTAACTCTGCCATTTTTTAAGATTTTGAATTCGTTTTTTGGCGTTTGAAAGAGAAAGCTTAGATCCTTTTTCTGGTGTTTTCAAATTTTGAAAAACAAAATAACATATCCCAAAATTTTAAGGTTATTTTTGTAATAATTCAAACACTCATAACTCAATTTTTTCAAATGAAATACCCCAATTTTTATTTTACTAAATAGAAGAGAATACAATTATGCATTGATCTGTATAAACATTCCCTATACCTAAATTTAATAATTTTCAAGTTATGGACTTTTTTTTAAGACAACAGGAAATTTATTACTAGCGACGCCCGTTTTCACATAGTTTGCTATGGGAATCAAAAATGGCAACATTTTCTCTAAACAAACGTCAACAGTAAATTACTATTTGAGAAATAGTGCCAAAATATGAAGAATCAAAGTTATGCAAACTTAATTATTAGTGATAGGTTCTACCATGCGATCATTATTTAAAGCTAACAAGTGAGAAAAATTTATTTTAATGAACGACATCATAATTTTGTTACACTCTCCATAAATACAAAATAAATTAATTAAATCTAAGTTTGAGTAGCTTTGACTCTTCATATTTTGCACTATTTGTCAAATAATAAATTACTGTTGACGTTTATTGAGAAACAATTTTGACATTTTTGATTTCCATAACAAACTTTTCGAAAACGGATGTGGCTAGTAATAGATTTTCGGCAGTCTTAACAAAAAGTCACCATAACTTGAAAATGATTAAATTTGGGCATAGGAAATGTTAATACAGATCTATGCAGAATTAAATTCTCTTCCATTTAGTAGAATAAAAATTGGGGTATTTCATTTGGAAAATTTGAGTTATGGGTATTTGAATTATTACAAATTAAAATTTTAGGGTTTGTTAATTTTTTTCAAAATTTGAAAATTATGCTAAGATTGGGATTGAAGCAATTCTCTTTATAAAATACATTAGTTTTGAATTAATTCTGTATCAAAATCGAGCAAAATTGTATTGAAAGAGCTCAAATTGCTTTATTTTAGAAGAAAACTTATTAAAGACAGTATTTGGTTGAAATACTTTGATTTAGGTTGATTCCCAACTTAAAATTGACCCAAATCGATTCAACATATCACAAATTGAATTATTTCAGCCTAAAATTATGATTGAAGCAATTATATTTACAAAATACATTAATTTCGAATTATTTCTATATTAAAATAGAGCTAAATTGGATTGAAAACCGGAAACCGGAAGAAAGATATAAACCTTCTATTTCAAACGCCAAAAAAACGAATTCTAAATTTTAAAAAATAGCAGAGTTACCTATTTTTAAAGTGGAAGGTGCAGATCCAAATTTTTTTTTTAAAACTCCAAATATTTCAAAAACGGCTAAATTTGGGTATAGGGAAAGCTGATTGATGAAAACTCTCTTAAAATAACACAATTAATTGAAAAACGCAGTAAAAAATATACCTTTCCATTATTGAAAATAAAAATGTTGAGACCGACTTCCGGTATAACCGGTATAATCTTGAAAATATTTTCATTTAGGAGGACTTAATGCATTATGGCTATGTACCAATTTTCAAACAAATATGATTATTCGAACTCCCAATACTTTTAATGTGGGGTTTAGACGGAACAACCTGTATTTGATCCCATTTTTTCAACTACCGCCCTGTAGTTCACTTTTATAGTTACAAGGACGACAGTTGGGCCCCTGAAACATTCCCAATTCCGCGATTTGCGTCAGAATTTGGGTACCAATCAATGCCCAGTATCGAATCTTGGCTCACTGCGACCGATAATTTGGAGGATTTAAAACCCGACAGTGCTTTCATGGATTATCGCCAACACCATCCTGGCGGTAACGACGAAAATGTCAATTTAATTGAGTTGCAGATGCGATTACCTGACCCTTCGAGTGAGAATTACGTCAAAGCTTTCATTTATTTCTCCCAAATACTTCAAGCACAGTCGATGAAAGTCCAAACTGAGCACTATCGCAGTTTCAAGGGACGAGTCAATGAGAATGGGGAGGGAAACACGATGGGGGCTCTCTACTGGCAATTGAATGATGTGTGGGTGGCCCCCACGTGGTCTGGCATAGGTTCGTGTCCACTTAAATCCAAGAAAAATACTACTCCGATTGCTAGATTTTACAGGGAGGTGGAAAATGTTGCAATACTTCGCCAAAGAGTTTTTTAGTCCGATGATTGTCACAGGGAGACTCACTGACGAAAATTTGGAAGTTTATGCTATTTATGACAGTCTCGAGTTGCCTAACATAACCGTGAAAGGGTTGGTTCAAGTTTACAAGTGGGAGTCTTTGGAGTCTCTTGTTCCTGTTGAAGTTCCAGTGACTTTGGTAATCTTACTAAATCTTCCTAAACTCGGTTTTGTATAATTGGTAACAGGATCTTTACAAATCGGTCCCTGTCACCACCATCCATGCACCAACGGCTCTGCAAACTGCCGGTTGTGGTGGCGACTATGCTGTTGCAAAAACCAAGTGTTTCTTCCATCTTCAGTTGCTAGACCAGGATAATAAAAATCTGGCGCCATTTAATTACGTTTTTCCCGAAAAACTCAAAAACTGTACTCTTGCCAACCCGACAGTGAAGGTAGAGTTCAAAAATTGCGTGTTGAATGCTTTCACCCTTTTGTAGATTGAATCAGTTGGGACTGTCGACTTGTTGAATAAAATTTTTGACGTGACTGTGTCCACCGATGCGGTGGCTTTGTTTGTTTGGTTGGATAGTCATGATGTTAGAGGGGTGTTTTCCGAAAACGGCTTTTTGCAAGTGAGTCCACGCAAGACTGTTAATTTTACAGCTGACAGTGCTGTCCCTCTGAAAGAGTTGCAAGCTGCAGTGACTGTTACACATTTACGCGATCCGGCCTATCTGTAAAAATGTTGAATGAAATAAAGGTTTAAACAAGAGATACGAATATATTTATTTCATATTGATACAAATAGTATACACCAAAACATCCAAACTAATCTACGAACTGTTCAAATTACCTTTAAATAAATTTGTACTTGATAAAATAACAGCTCTTACAAGGATTTAACAATAACTTGCAAAAATAACTTGCAAGGATATCCCAAACTTTATTCACTTTACAAAATGAGCTTACCAATATTCAGACTTTTAGTCAGTTAATTTGTAAATATGTATGTACATTAGTCGTTTATTTCTTGTATCTAACCTTAATAAAAAATCATTGCGTACAACTAAGAATCTTAAAGTAATTTCACTGAAATTTGCGTAAAAAAGCTTGGACTTTTTCAAGCGAAACGGAAAGGAAGAGATCACGTATTTAACAATAAGTCAACGTAAAACTAGAGTTTGTGATGCTTGTTAATCAAGGCAAGCGTTCTCGTTTACGTTTTTTCACTATTATCAAAAATATAAGCTGCATTAAAGAAATAAGGAAGTTGTTCAAGCAGAGTGAAACTAAAAAAAAACTAGCAGAGTCAGTATAAAACTGTTATATTTTTCAGATTGTTCCTTTAAAAAACTACAAGCTATCATGGTGTAAAAGCTAGGCACAGGTAATAGGCTGGGGGTTAAAAACCGCCTCGTACTGTCAGTGCATCGAACTGTACCTCCAAAATGCACGATCACCGGTGTGAAAAAACAACTAGATGGTTCAAGCGTAGGTACAAAAATACATAATTCGGGCTTCGATAATTAAAAAGGTACTCTACAATAGTCCATAAATAATTAAGAACCACCCGCTTAGCATTTACAGCGTCCTTGCACCCACTATTCACATTGTACAACTTATAAAAAAATATAACATTTCGTAAGAACTATCGAGGGTGTCTGCGCGATTAATTATTTTTGGACTACCCTCACATTGATTACACACAAACATCGAATTCTTCACCAATTTCACGATTTTTTCGAATAAAAACAAAGGAAAAGAAAAAACAAACAACATGATTTCTAAAATCATAAAACAATCATTTAGCGCCACTATATTCCAAAAGAATAATATAAATTTATCACAGACAATCTTGTATCAATTTTTCCTCGTCCATCCATTAAACATCAGCTATTGTTTGAAAACAATTGAAAACAAAAACAAAGTAAAAAAGCCTAAAATTAGAAAGATTTTCAGTAGTTTGGAACCACTAATCGACACCAACACCAGTTCCACGGACCCAACACATTTAAAGCCGAAAATAAAACAATCAACACATATTGCACATTTTTAAGTTACGTATCCAAAATGTTACATGGTTTATGCCACATCGAAACAGCAATAATATACCTCGGTTAACATATTTAGTACACAACAGGGCTCAGAAAGTGCAAATTGTGACATTTTTAAAACTTTCCGTTGACCGTTTATTAATGATTTTTTTTGTATACGCTCCCAAAGCTATTTTGCGTACGCATTTGACTCCCTAAAATGAGTCTTTTTCGGACTCAACAAAATTGGTTATTTTAGTTTTTGCAGATTAAAAAATAAAAGTGGTTACTATGGTAACGAAATTTTTTTAATTAGTAAGAGGTATGAATTCGTGTTTTGGGAGCTTTAACAAAAAAATCTTGTATGCACCACGTACGCAAAAGGTTGTAGGTGACACCTCTCATTAAAGACTACGTCGTCTCGTCATTAATTACGATTCGTCCCCCAAAACCCTATTTTGCGTACTTGATACATAAATAACTATTTTTATTAATAAACGATTTTAGCATAGGCTACAGCTCCTATGTTGTAATATAGGCAACTAAGCATGCAACGTATCCATGGTAACCATACAAAAATCGCATATCCAAATTTACATTTTACAGTTTTTTTGATCAAGGGAAAAAACTTCAATAAACTCTGTATTAATCAGCGATTAATACACTTGTTTATTAAATAACTGTTAACGAAAATATTTCAAAAATGCTCTCCAGATAACACTACTTAAAAAACTATCATTAACAATTTCATTTAAAACGTCGCAAAAAATGTAATAAATTTTTAGTTAATAAACTTTTGATATAAGATAACGATAACATGACTTGATCACGTTAAGAGCACAATTTCACACGATCTGACTCCCATAAAACAATGCATACTTATAAAACCGATCGATTATCATAGCACCAATAAAAATTTTGTGGTCAATAAAACATCTTTTAGAAAAATAAAATCACGGATTGCAACCGCAGAAGTGGTATTAGTACGATTTGTTAATTATTAATATTCCCGTTAAAAGTCTGCTCATCAATCAAGACACCGTTTTCGTCCATTAAAGCGTTCTCGCCGAATTCGTTACCTGGCAAACTCCTCCCTATACTAAACTCATCCTCTGCCGTTAAATGCCTATCGATATTATTGTCCTCGTTCGTTTCGTTCAAATTCATGAAATACGTCAAATCATCAGTCTGATTCCGTGCCGTTCCGTTCCGTATCGGCTGTCCGTTCAACAGACAATCTCCATTAACCGCATAGTTAAACGCCGATTCGGCCACCAATGAGGGAGTCGAAGGATACGAACGCGAGCTCTGATTGGTGAAATTCTTCACCGGGGCGGGCTTATTCGTGAAGGGGAGAGGCGTACTAGGGACAGATCTGGAAGGGTTGAGATTGGTCGATTTCATATCAAAACAATTGACATCGATGCTTTGCGATCGGGCTAGGTGACGCGAACCGGGCGCAAACGCGATATTTTCGCCGAAATTATTCTGAATATCGATGTTGTTATCGACGATGAGGTTGAAACTGGGCAGGCATTGGGTGTTTTGGGGCATTTCGACATTGTACATTTCCAAATTGGTGGGATTCTCGCATGGATGATCGTCGAGGGCGTCAATGATCCGATTTACGGTCACCGTTTCGGAAATCGGATCGAAATCGTTAAAATCGGCGCTCTGATTGGGCAAATTCGGCAGGAAATGGGCGTCTTCAGCGAAATTCGACTTGATCATTTGATTCAAAGGGACCGATTGCGACCTATACGCTGTGAAATCCGGAAAACTTTCCACGTTCTCGCTTTCGAGTAAATCGACTTCGTTCACGTCCTGTTTTATGGTTGGATTGACATAATCCGGAGTGTACGCGACTTTACTGTTCGAATGCAACAATTTCTCAAGGACCGATTTTTTGCTATTGTACAACATGGGACTGGCAGGGGCCGACATGGCCATGTAATTTTTCGCTTCCGGGATTTCTACACTCAAGTCCGGTTCGCGTTTGATCTTTTTCCGGACGCCGATTCCGGCGTTTTGATGAGTAGTGTTTTTAGTACGGGGTATCGGCGTGTTCCTGGGACTCACAAAAGGACTCACGTTCGTGCTGGAACATTTGGGCGACTGGGGGCCCGGAGATATGGGAGTGAAACTGAAGTTTTTGCGGCGAGTATTGGGGCTTGGAGGGACGGTATCCTCGTGGAGAGGCGTTTCGAAACTGACGCGACGACGAGCGCTGCTGTGATTGGTCGGCAATGTGTGAAGTTGGGCCGGGATTGGATAGATATTGACGTTGGAAACGGCCAGTGGGTCGATCATGGGGTGGGTGAGGGCAACAGCGGGGCCGCTATCGATGAGGAAGTTTTTGTTGTCGGATATGCCGTTCTGTTCGAGGAGTTGTCGGAGTTGGGAGAGTTTCGTCGAGTTTTCTTGGTCCGATGTCTCGATGTTGTTGCTGAAGTATTTCGACAGTTCTTCTTCGTGTTGGCTGTTGTTTGTACCTGGATCGAGTTGGTAAATAACTGGAATGAATTGAATTGCGGTAGTACCAACCTAAATATTCGTCCATGGCGTCCTTGTCGACATTACTGATGCTTTCGAGCCTCTCCCTGGGCAGAGGAAAAACGGGAGCATCACAATCATCATCACTTGATTTTCTTTCCTTACACCTATCTACGTTGTGTAGTACACCTTGAGATCTGATATCCGCAATTGTTTGCGGGTTGTACGATGCGTTATCACATGGTTGCGGTTTGGGTTGGATGGCTTTGTACTTTGCATTCTTGACTTGCTTCTTAGGGGACGATTGGGGCGATCGTTGCTGTTGTTGAGCTTTACCGGAGGCTAGACGCGGTATCGCTACTTTCGTCGAGGTTCCGACACCGTTTTGCTGCTGCTGTTGTGGTTGTTGTTGTTCACAGACGGGCTTTTGGAAACTTTTAAAGTCAGGTAACGCTGGTAGTTGAGTGAAATCTAACGATTTATCACAGATAGATTTGCCCTGAGTGGGACTCGTGCTGGTGCTGCCGGTGCTTGTACTGGTGCTGCTTTCACCGGCTCCAGTCAACGTGGGGGAACCCTCAAGCCGAATCGATGATAACGCTCCCTTGGATTTCTTCACAGAGGGCTTCGGATCGGATTTGGGAGACTGAAGCAAACAACCAATCAAAACGGCCTATTTACGTTTCGCATTTTACTCTTATTTGAAATTTTATTATTTGTTATTTATTTCAGCAAGATTCAAAAAAACAAATCGTTATCATGAGATAAAAAACGTACAATTACGATTATTTTAAAGACAAATAAAATTATATAATTTTTCGTACGCATGTTGACGAATGTTTTTTTACACGTGCTGGACGATGATGAAGTAGAGAACTATTTGGCACCTAAATTTAAATTTAGCATTGCAACATTACAGCGTTTAAAATTCAAACCACTTGCAATAAAATAATTTTGCATCTTGGCGCATATTGGCCGTTAAATGAGAAATTTATATCGAGTTCCATAATTGTAAATAAAAGTGACGATTGTACTAAAGTTCAAGGTAAAATAGTTGAAAATAGTCGCCTACCTGTATTTTTCTTTTTCTCTCTTTGACTTCATTCTTCTGTTGGATTTTTTTCTGCAATTGCAACTGCATTTCTCTGTGTTTAGTGCCAGTTTTCCCACCACATAGCTCCCCTGCATAAAAATTGAATAAATTTGCTTAAACGAGAATTGTACTACCTTTCAACTGTGATTCTGACGCTGAAGTCAACTGGTTGGCAGCGTCAGTTCCTGCACCAACTGAATGAGAAACAACAAGAAACCGAGCTAGGGCTTGCAATGATGGAAACTGAACTCCAAAATGAAATTCAGACCATTCTTTCACAATTAACCAAGCCGCCGCTGTTAAAGTCGATTGAGTACAAGGGGCTTCAGTGCTCTGGAAAAAGAAAACGAGAATGTGATTTGGAATAGTATCTGATTTCTGATAAAACTACTTACCAAAGGCTTATCACCAAGATCGGGCAATTTTGGAGGTTTTAACTTGATGCATCTTCTTAAGCCCGAATAGCAGTATCTAGAATTTCCACGGGTGCCCAAACGTCTAGCCCTCACTTTCGGATACACTTGTTTCATGACTTTACCAAAATCGGCTTGGGAAAGTGACTTGATTTGATTTTGTGTACAATATACTCTGAAATGAGAACAATAGAAAATTGTAATTTATCGAGTGGGTTTTCCTACGTGTATTCCTCATAAACCTCCTGTTTGGGAAGAGAAGTCTCTGCATCTTCTTCTAAGTGAGTCTTGATCCATGATATGGTCCTGTTGATTTCAGAGCGACTCCCCAGTGGGTTCAAGGGTTGTCGCAAAGGGTCCACTACATTGCTGATTTGAAACAGTTTCAAATACAAGAGATATTTTTCGGCGTTTGATAATTCTTTCATCTGCTCTAAGATTAATGATATTAACTGTCTGGCTTTCTCACTAAAACACGCAAAAATCGGTAAAATAATTTAAAAGATCAGCAGGGGGCCACTGACCTGATTGTGGGGCTGTCGTTTTCGGTCCGTTTGTCGTTATCGTGCGCCCCATCACCGTTTTCTTCTTTCGCGACGTTGCCGTTCTCTCCATTGTTTAAACTATCTTGTGTGGTGTCGGTCCCGGCCCCAGATTGTTGGAATTTTGCGGGCCATTGTTGAGTTTCCATCATCGCCAGCAATTTTTTGGCCTATTTCAGTTGGTTTCGGCACGAACCGCACACTTTTTCGACACTTTACCAGCCAATACGGGCTGACAAGACCGGAACATTTTATTGTCAACTCAAATCAGCTGGTCTCCAATGGACGACAATCCTTTCGTTCTTCGAAACGTTTTTTATCTGCGTGACGTAAGAAACACATGCCCACCAACATAACGAAAATTTAGGTTTTTTGAAAACAAGTCGTCAGTGAAAAAAGTGCACTTGGGCGCTTCCCAGACGCCCTTCTAAAACAGCACAACTACAATTTTAACGTAATTCCTTAAAATTATCTAATTTTAGACGATAAAAAGTCTTTCTTAAAATCGGACATGTTGGCTAGACTGTTTGGTAGTTGAAACAATTTACCTACTCACACCACTTTTTTTATCTACTAACATAAACTAATCCCTAATTTCTTTTAAAATTCTTGACTGAAGGAAAGATTAATATTGTTCTTTTTACAAAGGTTTAGTTAACATTTAATTTTTTGAGGATTATTGTATTTTTACAATTAAACAAGCGACAAAAACAACAGCGATAATCTGTAGGTTTCAATGTCAAGGACACACTTTACATTACTACATTTTTATCAAAATTTCTATGATTTATTATTATTGTTGATACTATCAATTCATGTTATGAATTTTAAAACTGGGAACAAAAACAAGCAATAATCCAATAACCCACTTTTTTGTTACATTCTTCTAAAATTGTTTTTTGGGACTATGAACAAGTGCCAATTCAATATCCTTTTCAAAATCAATTAAAAAAAGTGTTATGTAAATTATGCAATAAATTATTAACAATAAATAAAAAAGGCGCTGTCACGTGATCTGTCAAATTTTCTAACCTCACATTTCCCTCGAGTTTTAGGTTATAAGAATTATTGAAAATGTTACCCCCTTCTAGCGGTATAGGCCAGTTTGCTGCAACATCGGCCAAAGTAATCCGTTTCGTGCGAGCAGGGTGTACAAATCGTCCGTTTTTTCACATTGTCGTTGCAGAGGTATTGATTTTTGTAAGAATTGGGTGATGTTCATGTTAAAACCTATTTTTAGCGGCGGAGGGAACAGTTTGAGCCCGTTATAGAACAACTAGGGTCGTATGATCCTATGCCAAATGAGAAAAATGAAAAACTCGTCTCTCTTAATTTAGAACGCATCAGTTACTGGATTGGAAACGGGGCACGATGTTCAACTCCCGTTGAAGAATTATTAGGTCAGTTGTTTATAGGTATTTAAATTTGTATCATTTTTTGTTTTTAGGTTTGGCCGGTTATTTCCCCATTCACCCCAGAAGTTACATGACAGCGTGGAGGAACAGAAGAAAAGCAGAAGAAGAAGCTAAAGAACCTGACGATAGTAAAGATGAAAAATCAGAAACAAGTAGTTCTGTTTAGTATAATATATTACTGGTCTGTTTAGAAATAAATAAAACAAAATTTAATTATTTAATTAGAGCAGCTAACTGGACAAAACAATTTAAAGCACATTTGAGCTTTGCAATAAACCTGTGTTTCACATGAGATCGTAAAACGGTGTGATACAAAAATAGTGGGTAACATTTATGAATTTACAAACACAAAAACCATCCCAAAAGGCACTAAAATAATTTGAAATATAATACTATATAATCTCAAAACGTAAATAAAACATTCCTGAAAGTCACTTGAAATATGAATAAAGCATTTTGAGAAATATGTTGGAAGAACGCCCCCCGTTTATGAATCATTTATTCTGTTTTATCCAAAAGTTTATGAGCTAGAAAAATTCAGTTATTCATTGATAGGAGCAACAAATTGTGAATTACCTTCATCTTTAGCCTTGGCTAAGACATCATCAACAGCGTTGTGATGTTTCAAGAAGTACGGACGCACAATTCTTCGGTACAGAATCAATGAACCGTTGAGTTCAGTGGGGATCATGAGCCACACGAAGAAGACACACTAAAATAAGAGTTAAAAAGGGCGAAAATAACACTTATTATTTATCTACCTTCATAAGCCAGTAAAGTGGAAACCAGCCAACAATAAGATCGGAGAAGAACTCAAAGATGGAAAAAATTGCAAAAACTACCCAGTAGGTCAACCACTTAGTATCATCATCCTTCTGTTTGGACTCGATGGCACGAATTGAGACATAAGCTGGATACAGGAATCCAACAGTATTGCACACTAGTTGTGCGGCATATCCAAAAACGAGCCATAGTCCAATAATAGCAATGGAACCTAAGTGAGTCAATTATCACAAATTTCACTCATCATCATTGGACCTTAACCCCTTACCTATGAAGATGTAGAGTCTGTCCACGCCGGTTTTCGCTTCGAATGTCGTCAAAAGGGAAGTCCACGGTTTTGATTTATCGTGAAGCGATTTGTTGAGCTCATCTTTGATTTCTGCAACTCTTCCTGCCATTTCTGATAATTTTTGGTGACAACACGAAAAACAAAGGCCGTTGCGACGCTTCAAGGCCGAATTTAATTTTAGAGGTTAACTGTGTCAAGCAGCCAACCAATAAAAACGAAATAAAAGGACCGGAAAGTCCCACAATAAAACTTAAATATAATAAAATGAAAAATTGCGCAAAATAAACAATTTGATAACTTATCGCCACGTGAATAGAAAAGCGCCACACAACCCTCGAAAAATAAATGTTTTCCTTATTGGTTTTTTTCTTTTTCCGGTTTAGTGGAAAATCAAAAAACACTAGACATTGGATCAAGTCGCCATTTTGCGTTTGTTACCTAATCAACAAAAGTCACGTAAATTATCCTTCGGGAAAAAAAATCGGTAAAAAGTGTTTTTAATTATTTTATTGGTGATAATTGGATTCAACTTTGTAGAAATGTTCACTGGTACTTTGGTCAGAGCTGCGCCTCAAGTGAGGTTAGCCACACGGCAAATGTCTGTAATTTCGGGCCCCCCTAGAGTCAGAATCTCGTTTGCCGAGAAAGTAATCCACGGGGTTGTTATCTGCGGGTCTATGTTGGTCGTCCCCGCTTGGGTTTTGGTAAACATCAAGAACTACAAAGCTCGTGATTAAATCTACTGCAAATTGCTTAGTCCAGTTTAATGTTTATATTTTATGTTAAATAAATTGTTTAAGGTGTAAAGAGGTGTTTTACTGGTAATTCTATAATTATTTATTACTTATGTGTTACATTGAGTAGTTATAGAAAGGGACAAATTCTGTACATTCAAACTCAAAAACACCTGACTAGTTAACAATTACATAAAATATCTGGGATTAAATGCCATCATTTACTCGAAAAGTCATACAAACTACCGTTGGCACAGTTTTCCTTCGCTTTCAACTAAAACACGAGAAACAATTTAGGGAAGGCACAGACAACATGGAAAAACACAAAACTATGCTATTTTTATATAGTGTGTGGACCCTTTTTATCTCTATAATGAATTGGTGCATTTGGAAAAATAAATGTACATCCAAAATTCGTCACCTAGATTACTTTGACGCACTATTTTTACCTGACTTCCCTAAAAATAACAATAAACAGATTACGTATCACATTATAAAACATCAATTTATTCGAACATATTTGAGACGAATTTAGTTAACTTTGGTCTTACGTAACGAAGTTTTGTTAAAGCTACAAATTGCTCCCAAAAGAGCAGACCGATCTTTTGTCATTTCTGGAAGAGGAGGCGCCGCATTTCCGTTCGACATTGTCGGCGGGGGCGGCGGCGGCGGTGGTGGCGACGGCACTTTACAACCTGAAAAATAACCCTCTTTTATCAAAGTTTTCACTGGTATTAAAAACAAACACAATTTAATTATTCAATTTTCGATAATAAATGAAAAAGTGGTACCTTCATTGTTACGAATATTTCAGGCCTAAGAGAAAGCAAGGATATATAAATTTTCAAATTTGTGCAAAAAATCCAATTAAAAACAAAATAAACGCTTAACTTCTAGATTAAATTGAATTAAATACCTGTCATTGAGGGCGGTGTTGCCGTCCCTATGGAAGTCGCTGTGCTACTATTCACACTATCAGGCCTATCACCATTATCATCCTTCTCTGATTTACTCTTTTGCCTCATTTGTTCTTTGGCAAGCTGGCGCTGCTCATGCTTCAATTTATGCCTCTGCTTCTTCTTTTCTTCTTCAGAACTCATCATTTCTTGCACTTTGACCAGTCGCTTTTGACTCCGCACCATCTTCTGTTCTTCCCTCAATCTCTCTTCCATTTGGGTAACGGCCACTTTCAGATGTTCCTTCGTCGAATTTGGTATTTTTAAATGCGCTTTATCGTCCGGCAGAAGCGTTATCGTAACCGAAGTAAAAAATTTATGACTCAGAAGAGATTCTATTGTGGGCAATCCCGATTTGCAAGCCTCTGCCGACAAAATCGATTCCAATAACGACTCTACAATTACAAAACATAACTCAAAAATAATTATTTTCATTAAAATGTTACTCAGAAGTGCAGGACATGAGGGTATGTTCTCGGCGACACTTTCATGAAGTGGGGCCCCAAACGTCATTTCATACAACGTGTGTCCAAAGCAGTACACATCGATGGCTTGCAAAGTGTTTATTTTGCGGTGTTGCATGAAATAGGGGCGGTAAAATGAAGGAACTCCCAAAACTCCATTTTCTATATCGAGCAGTTTGACTCTGTCGTTTTCCACAATCACATTTCCTGTGTGCAAATGTCCTGAAATTGAAATTAGTTATAATTATATTAGAGTCAAAGCAAAGCAATAACTACCATATGGTAGTCCTTTATCCATGAGAAATTTCAGTGCTTCTAAAATCTGCCGCCCATAAAGCGCCACTTGACTGACTTCCAGCGGTTTGTGTCCTTTAGGATTGCCGTATTTTTTCAAAAAGGACTGTCTCGGTTTGGCCCCACATAACAGGTCCCGCAACGACCCGTTTTTGTGGTTGGTTCGCACTACAAGGCCCCCCGTGTCGGTGCATAGGCACAGTTCAATGGAATGTATGAAGGGGTGTTGGATCTGATTTAAACTTTTAAATAACGCATGCATGTCCTTGTCATCGAGATATTTGTCGGGGCCATAGTCGGTCCAACCCCCTATTAAATCGTCTTTAGGCTGAGATTTGCATTTTATGTGGTAGTAGTGTTTTCGGAGTCGCCAACCCATTTCCTCCAAAGGCCCCACAACTTCCCAACCGACTTCCCCACGCAACGCCAATGAAACGTGTTGTAAGGCCAATTCGCCAAAGGGTTGGCAATAATTCGCAGGATCTACAAAAGATCTTGCTGGGAGGGATGAGACTAGAATTGGATTCATCAGTATGCTGTTTAGATATTTCTAAAAAAAATCAGAGGTAGAGTAAGTAATAAAATTTTTAAAACAGACTTGTAATCCCTGTTGCCGCTCGGTGATAAATTCCGGGTCCATATTCCCAATGAGTTTCTTAGGGGGCAACTGGAGGGAAATCCCCGACGTTTGGAAGTAAGTGTGCAACTTGTAGAAATCATTATATCGCTTATAGACACGCCAGGTCTTGTCTGAAAAGGGCCCTCGTTGCACTCTTATAACAAATTCCTGAAATATCCCCTGAATTGTGAGATTTTCCCAATGGATTCTTACTGTATGTCCATTGACGTTTCTCCAGTTCTCGATAACACAGCTAAGAGGCTCTGTATCATCTAATACAACTTTCTTGACTGTTTGTTGCTCAAATATAGCCATTGAAATGGGTACATTTGTTCACTTTCTCGTTGCAAATCCATTAGATTTTAAGATTTACTCCGATTACACCTCCTTAAACGTCAAACATTTCAATAACCTTGCCAAATGTCAATCATCGCACTAAGTTGCCAAGTTTCAAAAACACTCAACGGAAAATACATTCCTGCAATACTGACCCTTTATCCATTCATTTGTATTTAAATGTAATTATCACAACAACTCCAATAAAGATTAAGCTAAATGTAATTTTTTTATTTAATAAAAATTACTCTTTCATGGTCTGATACAGAAGTATGGCAATGTTGCACTGTCAAATGTCAAATCATTAAGCGAAGCGTCATTGACCAGTTATTTTTATTAGTGTTTTTTAAAAAATAATTAAAACAAGTATAACTTAAAGTTTAATAATGAGTTCTGATAACATAATAGAAAACATATTTACGCCGTTCCAGGAATGCATAAACAACGAGCAAGACGTCCGAGAGGTTAGCAAACGTAAACATAAACGCCTGAGATTGAATTTTTTTTTAGGAAATAAGGAACATCATGAAAGATATCGAAAAGCCGCTCAGAGAGATTGTTACAACGCTCCAAATAATTCACCGGACTCCCAACGGGGAAGAAAGTGTGTTTTTGTAATTTATGAATCGTTTTGAAATTATTTTGTGTAAAGTTTCAGCGGCCTGTTTTACAGCGCGAGAGCTCTTTGAGAGTGTGAGGGCAGGGTATGAAAAGTTGAATACCGTGGTTCCTGCTGGACAGTACTATCGGTACAACGACCATTGGCGTTTTGCCACTCAACGCTTGTGCTTCTTGGCGGCTCTTATTATATTCCTCGAGAAGGGCTTTCTTGTGGATAAGAAAACCACAGCTGAGATTTTGGGACTACATGACAAGTCTCGCCTTCACTTGGACTTAGAAGACTACTTAATGGGCCTCTTGAATCTGGCGACGGAGTTGTCGCGGTTTGCTATAAATTCGGTTACTTATGGGGACTACAACAGACCTTTACAAATCTCGAAGTTTGTGGCGGAATTGAACGCGGGTTTTCGTTTGTTGAACTTAAAAAACGATTCTTTGCGTAAAAGATTCGACGCTCTTAAGTATGACGTTAAAAAGATTGAAGAGGTCGTGTATGACTTGTCTCTGCGTGGTCTTGCGCCTAACAGAGGAGAAGTAGTGGAATAATGGCAGTATACTTTTTAATGTACGATTTACTAAAATAAATGAACGGTTTAGAATCTAAAACCTGCATGACAGATTTTATTGATCATTCATACACATAAACTAATCACATATTTACAAATATTCACATTCAGAGGACCTAATCAAAACCCAGAACGTTCATTAATAGACCCGTATATAGTAATCGCGTTATTATTTTTTTAATTTTATGTATATTATAAATTAAATACCACATTCTACAACTTATTCATACTAAAAATTCAAACATTCACATTACGTTAAAAGAAAACCTTAGTTTTTATAGTGTGAATGCTAAAATTTTAGTTGTAGTAAGTGCCACAATCAATGTTGAAGCAATTATATTTTTTTGGGATTTTCTTAACATAAAACAACATAGACAAGATCTACATTGTTGAATGTCCGGCTCTTTATTATTTTTTTCGTTTATAATAAATTAATGAATTAACAGTCATAAGAAAAATCGATAATCACATGGATGCATTTAAACCGTTAATTCAAACAATGACATACAGAAGTAGGAATGTGACTTATTATCTAATAGCTTGCACCATTGATTCTAATTTTAAATTTATACTTGTTTTAAATAATACCTTTGCCCTAAATTATGATTACTTAAACCTAAAACATAATTGACAAACTTTTGTACAAAAAATACTGCTAGTCTTGATAATTATATACAAACAAATAGTATTTATTTACAATAGTTTTTAAAAAACGAGCAAAAGTGTTATTCAAAATAGTAAAAATTTCCGAATTACTTATGAAATTAAGAGAGCATTTATACCAAATTTTTTCTAACAGCCTTTTTCTTAGTTTTGTTTATAAAACATACAATGAAATAAACAACTTGTTTCCAAATTAATTTTAAAACCGTTTTATACCGTTAACGATCTGCCAATGTAGGATTGAATAGTTAAATAGACACAGAGAAGCTTATATTGAAAGACGTAACACCACTTTTGACAAATTGTTAACTATTTAAACTGATAACGTGCCAACATTTTATACAGATAGAAGTTCACGAGACTCAGACTAACTTCTTACATTTGTTAACTTGCTTTTCCTTCCGTTTGCACATAATTATGTATTAAGAACACAAAATGTGGAAATGATGGCTAAAAAATTTAATCGATTTAAAATACAGTGGTCTAATGGTGTAAGTACATTTCACAAAATTTCATTTACAAAATGTAATAAGTTACTAATAATAGTTCAACAGCCTCATGAATTATTAACACTAGGGTTATAATTACAATAGAAAATAAATTAACAACTCCTTAAAATAGAAGTCTAGTTTATTGGTAAGATTTTGCGAAAATGCCTGCTTTCTCTACAAATTTATTCAACTAAAAACTGAGTAATTTATGATCACTTAATGAACACAATAATACTATACAAGTTAGAATATGTTCCGTCTTAAAAAAATTATAATGTTATGCAACAGTTCTGGAGATTATGCGGTATACACTGAAATTAATACATTCATACGAAATGTATACAAACAGCACGACAGATGAACAATAGGCTATGAAATATAACGATGTTACTCCAGCATGACTGTCTACACTTTAAACAAATGTATTCAATTATGCACATCTAAAAATCTGAAAATCCATTAAAATTCAACTTATAATGATAGGGACTGAATGAAATCGATCGAGGGAAAAATAACACCATTATATCCCATCGATTACGATTGAAATCGAAATTAACACAACCTGCTCATTTTTTTCCCATAATCTTTGCGACTTTTTTTTTCTTCTTATTAATACTTGTGTACAATCTGAATGATGAGAACGTAAATATTCTGACAGGCATTTCAAATCTTGAAAACGTATAACCAGCAGAAAATGAAACACCTTGTTGATAGTAAAAAGCCATCCTGCGGTTTTGACAAACCCAGGCCTGAAGATGAGCATCACGTCACTTCCATTACCAGATTGTTCTTCCGGACGATAGTTTTCGTTTTGTTGTTAGTCGTAGCTGTGCCTGGTTCGGTACATTGAGAATTCACCAGTTTGTTCGAGACGGGTTCCGTGTCGTCGGTTATCGGTATTTCTAAAATGTTGGCACTGCAAACAAAAACGCATTTAGTACAAAAAAAAAACAACTACAATCTTGAGTGCAATTAAAATTATGTAGCAATTACGATTTTGAAATGTTGCAATTTCATTCTGCATACAATAATTATTTTACGATATAGTGGGTAGTACATTCCGACGTCGTGACGCAGCGAAAACTGAAGCCTCTATAAGACTCCAAGAGTAATTCAAGCTTGAAAGATAAAAGGAACAAAGTAAAAATAAGTTTCTCCACGATGGAAATACTGAATGATACAAAAATCCGAATTAACACTCATTAAATTAGAAAAAACCCTTTTTTGTAATACTCACCTATGACTATTAAGCGTAAGAGTGTGTGCAGAAGTGTGAAGACTCAATGTGCCAGAGGAAGCATTGATGGGTGGTACAGTTTGGTAAACTCCGCCTGAGTAAGCGTAAGATATTTTATTGTTTTTTGTCCTACCTGAAACACAAAAACAACTCACGTAACACGACGCATTTTAAAACAAAGGGAATTCGCTGTAATGATATTTGTTGTTCATTAAGTTAAAAATATACAGGCTGTTTCGGCTAAACCCTATTGGGAGTTCTAACAATTTTTATCTTACTTTGTTTATTATAGCTATAATCCTGTTACACCGGAAGTGGATATCAACTTCGTTATTTTAAATCGAAAGTTATGTTTGTTATTGCGTTTTTGGATTACTCAAGTGATTTTGAGAGAGTATTCATTAGCCTTATGTTTAACCGTTTTCGAAAAAAATAAAGCCAAACCGCTTGAAAATATCACAAATTGCTTTATTTTAGCCTAAAATTGGGATTGAAGAAATTAGTTTTATCAAATACATTAATTAATGAATTCTGTATAAAAATCGAGAAAAATTGAATTGAAAATAGCTCAAATTGCTTTATTTTGAAAGAAAACTCGTATTCAAGCTTGGTTGAAATACTTTGATTCAGGTTGATCCCCGGCTTAAAATTGAGCCAAAAAGATTGAAAACATCACAAATTGGATTTGAATTTTTCTATTCAAAAATCGATAACTCTACCATTTTTTATTACGCTGAAACCGTATTTGGGTAAACGAGTACGAGAGAAAAAGGTTAGATCTTTCCTTTGGTGTATTCATAATTGGAAAAATAATTAACAAATCGCCAAAATGTAAGGTTACGTTTAGGAAACTTCAAATACCACTAACTCAATTTTTCTAAATACCTCATTTTTTTCCACTATATGGAGAAGAATTTAGTTCTGTTTCGATCTCTGTATTACCATTCCCTATACATATGTTTGATAGTTTTCAAGTTACAGTAACTTCTTTTGGTATTGTGTGAAATTCATTAGCCACAGCTACTTTAGTACAGGTTGTCATAGAATAAGAAAAAAATAGAATACAAAGTTATTCAAATTTCCATTTAAATTTAATTTGTATTTACAAGAATAACACAATTGTGAAAAAAAAATTAGAGAGAAATATTTTCATGGCAAACTAGGTGAAAAATTTCTTCCATTGTAAAAAAAAAAAGTTAAAATAACCTGGAAATCATTAAATTTGGTATAGGGAATGATACAGATCGATGCAGAATTAAATTCTCTTTCACTTAGTGAAGAAAAAATTGGGGCCTTCCATTTGAAAAAATTGAGTTACGGGTATTTGAAGTTTCCCAAACGTAACCTTAAATTTTGGGAGGTTTGTTAATTATTTCCCCAACGAAAGAAAAGATCTAACCTTTCTTTTTCAAATGCCCAAATACAATTTCAAAATAATAAAAAATGATAGAGTTATCGATTTTTAGAGAGGAAGATGCAAATAAAAAAAATTCAAAAAAGTCTAAATATTTCAAAAACGGTTAAATTTAGGTATAGATAAGACTGATAAAAACTCTTTCAAAATCACTTGAGTAATCCAAAAATGCAGTAGAAAACATAACTTTCTATTTAAAATAACAAAGTTGATACCCATTTCCGGTGTAACCGGAAGTGCTGCCATCTTAAAAATTGTTTTATTGAGCAGGATTTAAACGATTATGGCGATAATCAAAATTTTAGATAAATGTCACTGTTAGTTCTAATGTGGGGTTTAGCTGGAACAACCTGTATATCTACAAAAAAATAGTATATTAAAGTACAAGTTGCAGAAGGTATCTATCTATTCAAGCACAAATTTGAAATTCCGAAACGAGCCGCGAAGCGGCGAGTTGAGGAACAAATGAGCGCTTGAAGAACCTTCTGCAACAAGTGCTTTATACTATTTTTTCTATTTCGCCGCTTTATATCATTTTATAAATTAAAAAACGAAAATTAAATTTTTTTTCTAGAGAATTTTGAGACGGTTGGCGACATTTATGTGTGGAATAATGTTAGGCGGCTGTAAAAAATAAAAATTATTCTTATTTTCACATTTAAAAGTGAATTGTGAAGAAAGTCCGTCACTAAAATTAAATTACCGCGAACGACTTATTCCAGCACGCAAATGACGTCATTTGGGTGCTGGAATAGACTTATTCTAAAACCGAAATAGAAAAAATTAATTCCAAAATCACATTTTGTAAAAAAAAAGGTGGATCAAATGTGTTTTGGATAATTTTAATAGGGTAAATGTAGAAAAAAATTGCCTCTTTCAGCCAATTTAATTAAATATTGACCTAAATAATCTTAGTTGAATGTGAATCATAATAGTTGAAGAGATATCTCCCACATTTACCTACCGTAGCTATAAAACTTTGCAAAAACAAACCACATCGTTTATGAATGATCCTTTTTCATATGCCCAAATACGATTTCAAAATAATTAAAAATGGTAGAGTTATCGATTTTTGGAGAGGAAGATGCAAATTAAAAAATATTCAAAAGTCTAAATATTTCAAAAACGGTTAAATTTAGGTACAGAAAAGACTGATAAAAACTCTCTCAAAATCACTGGAGTAATCCAAAAACGCAATAAGAAACATAACTTTCTGTTTAAAATAACAAAGTTGATATCTATTTCCGGTGTAACCGGAAGTACTGCCATCTTGAAAATATTTTTATTGAGCAGGATCTAAATGATTATTGCTATAGTCAAAATTTTAGATAAATATCACTGTTAGAACCCTCAATACTTCTAATGTGGGGTTTAGATGGAACAATTGCACAAGAAAAAACACAAAGTGGACAAAAAACTGTAAGTGACATTTTCAATATTCTAAAACAGAGCGAAAACTTACCATCGAGCCCAAACTGCGAGAGCAGTCCGTTGGTGTTGCCCAACGGCCCTTCAGTGGCTGTACTCCTAGACACGGCGTTGACACTATTAAACTTAGGACTAGTCAAGGTACTCGTAACGGTTTGCGTTTTGGACGTTTGATTTTTCATCGTGGCGCCCAAATCCGACACGTGAAACCTCGAACATCCGATAGTCCTTTCGTCGTTTTCGTCTGACGTCGACGATGACGTCGCATCCTCGAGCTTGATACTATCAGTGAGGTTCGCGTTACTATTTGAAAAAACACTACTACTATTATCGTTAACACTAGGAGTAAGCGTATTGAGACCGACATTAACATTTAAGTTAATGCCCGTTTGCACGATTTTATCACTGGATTGCCGCGTGTCGGTTACCGGTACGTCTTCTATACTGTCCAAATTATCAAACGTGAATGGATCGGTTAAGAAAGCGGAAGTGTCCAGAAGGGTATTTGGCGTTTCCAACGACTGGACCTCGATTGAGAACGACATGTTGGCACCGGGAACGAAATAACTCTCGCTATACGGGAGCAAACTGCATGGCGGCTCCTCGTCGGGGGGCGGCGTCTTCGGCCGGAAGTGCAGCCTGAAATAAACGCATAAACATAAATTAGTTTTATCCTGAATTTGAGAACATTTTAGATATAAAAATTCAAGTATGATTTCTTTCTTATCTTCATCATTACGCACATTTTTGGGTCATGATTTGTAAACAAAATCTTTTTACTTGAGAACATAGATAATTGGAGTTTCAATAAAGATAAATAAACGCGGGAATGACAAAATTGGCTGTGACAAGATAATTTATTTGGAGATCGATCACGATTTTCAAGTCTAGGGTTGAGTATCATTAATTAATTTGACTTTTCACACAGACAGGAACAATTAATTTGAACCCTCGTATAGAAAAACTTTGGGAAACCGCTGAATACTGTGGTAAAATTGTGTTAATAACAAATAATTAAAATTTCTCAAAGACTTTCATACACGCCAAGCAGTTTTTATTAAAAATGTAACCAAGTCTAATACATAAAATCAATAGATGTTCAATTTTCAATTCAATGAAAGTCTTTAGTTACGAAAGCATCTCGATTACCAGCTTTTCTGAATACGTGGTGGCATGCCACTACGTAGACGACAATGATAAATATTTGTGAAATTTGAGTCATAAATCAAACAAAATGTTATTAGCTTTTAAAGTCTCGACAATGCAGCTTTACAATAATTGTCAGCTCTTAACCTCGGTGAAAACGCTATATTGCTTTTCTGTTGTTCACAGAAAATTCCATTTTCATTGTAAATAAATTCAATTTTACAAATATTTGGATTAGATACAAAATTATTTAATATCTGGCGATATTTGAACAATTTCAATTTACGCTCAATATTTTAGCGTCAACGCAATTTTTACACGTGTGCTTTTCGGAAATTCATAACAATGAAACGCCAACAATTCGCTAAAAAAAATCAATATCGATTGAATCAGGTTTAAACTCAGTCACGAGTAAAACAATTACAGTAGTTACTAAAGTATGTAAATACTTCGTGAAAAAGTTTAAAGATTTACGTCTAAACAAAAAAAGAACAGGTTTACAGGTTAGTGATCTTTTTATTAGGTTTATTTGAATTTCAAACGGCGAGAAATATCCAATAAAAATTTATTAGTGTCGTTAATATTGAAAAAAATCCAAATGCTTGAAAATGCATTGAATGGGAATAAAAACTGTCTCATGGCGTTTATTTGATTTTCATTTCGATTACGGAGAAAGATTGATAACAATCAAATCAATCAACAAACTGTTTGTGTTTGTAACCACCAAGAAGGCTGCATTTTTTGTCACATAATCAATAACTTTTAATGGTTATGAAACAGGAAGAAACCAAGTTGAACAATATCATAAAATATAGTTTTGGAGTGTAGCCCAAGTAGTTTTATATTACAAACCAAACATTAAATGATCAATCATCTCATAACAGCAATACCGAAAATACTTTCGTGTTAAAAAAATTCCACTTGAAAACTAAAACTCACCAATCCCTTCGAACAGACCGCAAAATTTCAACCATTTCGTCCTCGTCGCTTTTGCTGTGTGCAAAAGTTTCCGGTTGTGGTCCTCCTCCATCCTCATCGACCTCTTTTTTCACATCGATTTGGTTCCCACTTTCACTCTCACCACCGACATCATTCACATTCGTCCGTGAAAAACTGTTACTGACATAACTATACTCACTTTTAATATCAGTTCGTAAGTTATTATTTACGTTCGTATTATTATTAACAAAACTAGCGTCCATTTTAACTACAACGTCCGACGACAAATTCGTTTCGTTTTCTTGTTGTTGTTCTTGTTTTTCAGCGTTCGGCTCGACGATCGTAAAATCCAACGTTCGCCAGAAATCATCCTGGTCGGTTCCAATACGGTCCAAGATGACTCTTCCGCCTCGACCAATGCGTCTTCTGGCGAAACCGATGCAACGTCGAGGATTCGATAGCGACGTCAAAGTGAAGCGGAAACGCTTGTCCGCCAAGCCGTTTTCTTCTTTCGAACACCACGGCCAATTACCCTCAGTAGGCAACGGCTAAAAAATTAAATTAGAAATAATTGCTACAGGCTATTTGAGGAGGAATCAAGGAAGCTGTATCCTAAATTCTAACTCTAATGTTGTGGCTTGTATAGGCAAATTTTTTGTACCTTTACTAAATAAATATAAAAAAAACATACAGGGTGTCCCAGCGAGTTGAAAAAGTCCATTAGTGACCTTTAAATGGTAAAATTTGATTGATAGTGCAACTATTAAATTATTTTCAACCATACAGCATGTCCCAAAAATAAGTTGTATCGTAAAAAAATTTAAATAACCCTATTTTTACTTTCCTTATCCTATAAGGAAAGTATTGCAATCGGCTGAAATTTGACCTTTCTGGACGAATTATAGCTTCAAGATACCAAAAAAGCATATCTCGAGTACGACAAGAGCTAGAAACTTGAAATTTGGTATGTAAGTTACTTGTAGGAAGGGGAAGCAGCACGAAACAATTGGTAAAAATCGGACGCACCGTTCGGCCGCAAAGACCAAAAATCAAAATTATACGTTTGGAGATACAATAAATAAATCCATGGGGATAAAAATTATTTATTATTTATTAATATATATATAAAAAAATATACCTTATTAAACAGTAGAATGTGATTAAATGAAAATAATAATGGGTACCGAACTAAAAAAAAAATTGCTGGGCAAAATTGCCCAGACTCGAACCCGCGGCAACTATGATCTACTTCGCGTGTAATCCGGCAAGTGGCACTAACGCAAACGTTAGGTTTGCTACTCGGATTTCCTCCAACACTAAATTATTGTCCTAAGGATGTTTTCCAAATAAGTTGGATAAGGAAAGTCGTGTGATGTTCACACCAGGTTTTTTATTTTTGCTTCTAATAGATTGATAAAGGTTTTAATGTCTAGAATTGATAAATGAAAAGATATTTAACGTTCAATATTAATTGGAGCAACAATGCCTATGAATATCTGGGCATTGTTAATACTATGCCAGCCATAGTAATTCCACTGATCACTTATCCGTTGATTTAGCCAGAGATTGTAAAAGCAGCAGATATGTTAGACACTTATTACTGCGCGCTGTGAGGTTTCGTTGACCTTGAACAAGTTTATAAGTGAATGAAGTAGTGAATGGTCACATTTACTGCAACGATAAAAATATTTTTATGTCTCAAAAAATAAAGATTTTTTGAAAATATGAATCAGTGTTATTTCTAACGTGTATTTTATAAAAATATATTTTTTATTTAAAGTATAAAGCCATGTAAGCTTTACAATGGGCTAACTTCACACCAACCCCACTTAAAAAAATTGTAATTCCAACATTAAAAAAAGATAAATTTTTGTACATTATTATTTAACATTTCTATATCACCTATTTCTAAAAATTTTAGAATAAAAAAAGGAAGATGGATTTTCAGATATTAGGCGTTTTCTTAAAGATAAGTATTAATATCACTTTTTAACTTACCTGGTCCTTATTTATTCATTTTTAGTAGGTATAACGATCTAAATAAAAGCAGCGGCTACCAATGAAAACAGTTTCGTCCAACAAAATTGTAATCAAATTTAAATGAAGGCAACTTTTACCTTAACCATTTACTAGGAGCTATTTTAAAAGCAGCAAATTTCGTTTTAGTTATTCTAATAGTGTAATTAAACACTTATGAACACATTTTATAATAAACAATTTTAAGGTTATGTTACACATTTTACTATCATAGTACGCACGTAGTAAAGGTTTAGGGGATTCGGTTGGCAATATATGCAATAGTACCAACAATCTCACTAAATAATCTAATCCAAATCATTCGTAAATACGCCATAGTCTGGTTTAGCCAATCACAGTCGACCCACCGAGGTAACGGCGACGCGGATTTTATTTTCATCCATAAATGGAAAAGAGTACCATCTGGTAGAACTAGTTAATCTGTGGTAAAAGTCGTTATAAGTACTGAAATTCAAATTATTTTATTGTAAAAATAAAGAATAATGGATTCAGTTTAATACAAATGTGATTATTAAGTGTTATTTCTTCCATCACTTGTGCAACTGTACACTTTTTGGCTACTGAAACAATAGTAATTATTTTTTTTAATGTATAACGTTAAATATCTTTTTAGTTATTGATTATAAACACCAAAAAGTAAATAATTTTAGAAAGACCATTTAATAATCTCTTAAATGCAAAAACAATAAATAGGGTGTTCCATTTAAATTTTGTAAGTTATTGAACTTTCAACAAACGCCTTCATTTTTTTATCTTTGCAAATGCAACACACTAAAAAATGTTAAAATCTTATAGCTTGTACCTTCTTCTTTACGGTAGTAAAAAAATATTTCTAGATGTCTTAGTTTTTGTGCAATAAATTTTTAAAAAGTGCATGTTTTCGTCAAAAAACCGTCTTATTTTTAAAACTAGGCAAAATCGCCCAATAAAAGTTTAGCGTAAAAACATTGGTATAAAAGGCTACATCTAAAAATGCTAAGAAACATTTCGTGTTTCATTTAAAAAAAACATAAGTTTGTATTGTAACTTATTTTTGAGACACGCTGTATAGTTGAAAATCATTTTAGGCGATGGACTAGATTAGTATCTATCAATGTCCTATATATTTTTTTTAATTTTCCATTTAAAGGACTTTTTCAACTCGCTGGGGACACCCTGTATACAGGATGACCAGTATCATTAAATAGACATAAAAAATGTGAAATTTCAAAAAATAAATATCAAAATTTGTTGACCGATAGAATTTTAAAATTATTCTCTAGGGCGCGAATACTGACACATCCTGTATACAGGTTGTGCTAGAACTCGCGCGTATATTTTACAAGAATTTTGTTAAGATTGCTGTGTAATTAATTAATTAAACACTCGATTAAATATAATTTTGCACAATTGTGAAAATAGAGTTCATTGCTCGTCAACATTAACATGTTGACCTGACCTGACCGACGTATAGATTGACTTACCATATGGTAAGAACACAGCTTATTCCTACGGAAAGCGAACTGTCCTTCATCTTCGACCTCTTCCGGTTCGGGTGAAAGCTGCGGCATGGTGTCTTCATCGGAAGACAGCGCCCCCAACCCATCCAATCCCGCCGATCCGATTCCACCGCTCCGAGTATGCCCCAGTGATTTATGTTTCCTCTTTTTGTACTGTCTTTTCTCTTTTCTGGGTATAACTTCGTCTTTGAGTATCGCCTTATTTGACCAACTCTGGTTCGGATAGTGATTGTGAAAGATCGGTGTGAAGGCCGGTCTCGTCGTCTTAATCGCCGCCGCTTCCGCATAGATGGCACCACTAAAGTCTCTCGCATGGAATCTCTTCTCGAATATCTCCACTGTAAGATGGACGTGTTCGCGCTTCATCTTTTCTCGCTTTTTGATGAGTTCGAGTAGCGTTACGGCCCGATGGAGATCCCTACGAAGTTTCAGCATTTTTTCATAAGACGTTTCATCGTTTTTGCGGTTTTTGCGAGTCTGCATCTTTTCCGTTCGTCGTCTGAACGCCAGGTACGGGTTGTTGGGGGCGGCGCCGGCTCTCTGTTCCGTTTTCACGGTTAGAATTAGAGGATGTTGGGTGTTTAGGCGTTTGTTTAACCAATAATCGAATACTGCGATTATGAGATCGTCATCCTCCTTCAATAGAGCTTTGGCCTCGTTCAGGTTCACCACGGTCTGACCGCTGCTCTTCTCCAAACGGTCCATCATCTCCTCGAATTTCAGAGGAGTCAGATCCAACCTCTGCGCCTGCGATTGCAACCAACGTTCGTCTTCCGAGTCCATGTCGTAGTCGGGGATGTCTTGTTCCATCGTGAAGGCTAATAAAAAATAATAAATAAATAAACCACAATAAAATGACTAATGTTCGTTTGTCGTATGTCCGTTTTTATCTCACTCGCCTTCGCCTCGTTAAAATATTCATACTGGTAATTCAAAAACGTCACTTTCATTTTTTTTACGTTTTTCGAATCAATTATTTTTTACAAAATCTAAACAAAATCTAGTAATTTGCGTTTAAGTCCGTTAAGTCAAATACTACAGTATGAGTGAGATGAGAGAAATAAGTATGTAATAAGAGGCTTGCCGGATGCATATCATAACGTATTTTATTTCATACTGTTTCAAGAAAATTTGCTATTTTTGAAATTTGACATTTGAATCCGGTAAGTGTTGCTTGGCTACACTTCTTGGCTCTAATACCGTAATAGCACAATTACCAGACTCTTACGTACTTACGGCGCTGATACCGTAATACCTCACTTCCCGGACTCTTAAACGAAGCCGGTAATTTTTATTCGACGGATTAACGATCTTCATTCCAGTGACACATACAAAACTTTCCTCCAGACCAAATTAATAATAAATAACATAAGAAAATGATAAATTTGTCAAATAATGTCAAATAATTTAGTTCATTCCATTGCAATTTTATTAAGAGTAAAAATCGGTATTTGAATTATTTTATTCCCAAGGGAATAAAATAATAAAAGCGTTACTACTTAATTTCCCATTGGGAGGAAAAAAATAACACATAGAAACACATAATCTAAATTTAAATCAATATAAATTAATAACATTCTGACTTAATAAAAACAAATCATAATCTTCCATAAATTTTCTTGTATTTAAATCCGCCAAATCGAAATAATTAAGTTTCCATAAAAAAGTAATGAAGTTCGATGAAGGTTACAAAAACTTTACACAACAAAATGATTAAAATTTTAAATTAATCATTTCCCTTTTATTATACGAGTGTGATAAGTTTAAAAAACAAAGGGTAGTAAGAAAGCATTCAGTAATCAATTCGATTTTCTTTGGTATAAAATAATAAATGATCAGTGTTTAATTAATTTTTGCACGGTAAAAAACTAGAAATGATCAGTATCCAGGGTGCGCCAGAACTCGCGCCCCAGAGAAAATTTTCAAGCAAAGTAAGATACCAGGAACATGAAAAAAATGTTTAAAAAGTTCTATCTGTCAAAAAATTTTGACATTGGACAAAAAAATTTCTAGTAAAAGCCACAAATAACATTGAACAGAGTTACAATTTAGGATACAGCTTTAATGTTTTCTCTTTTAATAGCCTATAGCAAAAAAACTTGGAAAATTATGCTTGCAACAGACATAAATAGAGACAAAGTGCAAACTTTAAACCCTCATAACTTCGAAATTTTTATAGACAAATTTTTTTAACATTTTTTCCATGTTCCTGGTATCTTACCTTATATGGCATTTTTCTCTGGGGCGCGAGTTCTGGCGCACCCTGTATTAATATATTTTGCACAATAAAAGTAACAAACGTTTGGTAACTTTAATCAAAATTAGTAAAATAACATAAAATTTAGGAAACACATTTATTTTCAGTCTTGGTATTTTTCTATAAACACCTTATTTTCCACTGTGCATTTATTATTTTTAATGAATATCTATTACTTAACTGAACGTATATTACTTTTATTGAACAAAAATTCTTGACGTTTAAATAAAATATTGTGCATTTAATTCTCCAGAAAAACAAATCTAAAAATATAATGTAAAAAATTCAAAGACGGTTTAAAATTAATTAGTTTTAAAACTGAAAAACAAAATTTCATTAGATGAGTAGTCGTACTTTTTTGGTATTTATTTTTTGTTTTTATTGGTGTAATGAAAAGAATAATTAATTGTGGAGATTTCAAGAAAATTACTTGTTGATTTTAAATAAAACTCCCATTTTCTTTATCAACAATAACTCACTCCGTAAATATGTATTACATTGTCTAGGCAAACTTTAATAATTAATCTTCACATCTTGTTTTCTTTATCAAACAAAGGCTTTAATGCGATTTAACCTTTCTACTTTTAAAATGTACGTAAGAAAAATACTTATAAACTTTTAAGGTGTGTACATTTGATAAAAAAGTATTATTGTACCCTTCAGTATCGATTACGATATTTCCAAAATGTTAATCTACAGTTAATTTCGTAAATATCGTATCAAAAATTCCTTTTAACTTGAGAATATTTTATCAACTACGGGGCAAACAAAGACAAAAAATTTCAAGCTGACTAAAACCGTAAACTGTATAGCTTCCACCAAAAACCAAAAAAGCACGATGTGAGAAATCCGTTTGAAACCACGTGTTCAATTAGAGCTTATTGTGATGAAAAGCAAAGATGATGAGTGAATCAGTCATGAGCGATAAATTTTATAAACCTAAATTAAAAAATGTATGTAATGTGAGGAATCATAAAATATGTACAAAAATGTCACATAAAAGTTCAGTAAATGCAAAGTATTAAAAACAAAACGCTATTACATGATGAAATTGTAAAAACGTAAAAATTATGATGCCGTCTTATTTAAGCTGCAACAAAATTTATCAACGCAAGTTGTCTACAAAACCTGACACTAGAAATAGATATAAATAAACTACAGGAAGGTGAAAATAAAGAAAAAAATAAAGAGGAAATAAAGGAAAAAACACTCAAATATTCAATTATTCTTCAAGATCGATTTTTTAAATACCTACATATAAGTACAGTAGATTACATGCGAAGTGGAAAATGGAAAACTATTTGATTCACAATTATCTGCTTTTCTATCAAAGTTGATGCATTGGCATAGTTGTTTTGTAAACAAATTGATGGTCTCGTAACTTTAGTAATCCTTTATAAAATATTTCCCGACCACGGAATGTAACGACAAATTTCCCCACCTCCAAAAGGTTAGGAAATGGCATAATAATGCTATAGTGATTGTGAATAAAATATCTTACTAATTTTTATGAATCATTCAATTAATAAATTGTTACTTACATTACATAATTCTTCTATCTTAATTTCAAGTGCAATTGTAAATTGTGGGGTTGTTTACTTATGATTAGAATGTTTTTCTTTTGATAATTACGATTTCACCATTTCGTGCAATTATTTAATTTTTTTATTCTCCACAATTCTTGTATTATTTCTAATATTTTTTTTGTTATATTGATAAGATGTATACAGGGTGCACCAGAACTCGCGCCCCAGAGAAAAATGACATATAACGTAAGAGCATAAAAAAAAACTAAAAAATAATCTATAAAAATTTTGAAGTTATGAGAGTTAAATTTTGCAATTTGGCTCTATTTATTTCTGTTGAAAAAAATTATTTTCCAATTTTTTTTGCTACAGGCTATGTATTTCAGTTGGAAAAATATTTTTCCAATTTTTTTTGCTATAGGCTATTAAAAGAGGAAACAAGGAAGCTGTTTCTCTCTGTTTAATATTATTTGTGGCTTTTATTGGCAAATATTTGTACCTTTATTAATAATTGTAAAAAAAACATACAAGATCATCAGTATGATTAAATAGACAAAAAATGTCAAATGTCAAAAAATAAACGTCAAAATTTTTTGACAGTTAGAATTTTGTAACATTATTTCCATGCTCCTGGTATCTTATCTTACTTGAAATATTTCTCTGGGACGCCAGTTCTGGCGCACCCTGTATAACAAGTGTTTTTTTAAATTTGGAGTCAAATCTATCCATGAAAATTCGATTGTGAACGAACCATCGTATTGAAAATTATTAATCTGACATTTGAGATCTCTCCGGGCGTATTAAAAATTGTGGTCCGTTCACAACACACTCATATCATCGCCAACTACGACGACAAATTTAAATAAACACATTTTATAAACATCAATAATAAGCATTTATGTTTTTTGGAGCGCTTTGGCCAAGTATTAAAAAAATGTGTAAATTGTGTTGTGTGTGGGGGCCTTACGTTGCATGTGGATGAGCTGCCGGGGCTGTTTATAGTTGGCGGGATAAACCTTGTCGTAGAATTCCTTGTCTGGCATGTCCGAAACTTCCGGTGTGGGAATGATGAGCCCCGCACATATCGCCCTTTGCAGATGGTGCTCCTGAAAGGGCCCCAAATACGATTAACGCGCCTCAGAAAAAGGGATACAATTGATGCGTATGAGGATGCAAAAACGGCAATGACAGCTCGAGTTGGGGGCGGCAAAGGGGCCAAAGGGCCGAATTGGGTGGAAATTGTGGGGTTCGCGTGTGAAAAAAGCGTTGTTTTGGTGTAAAATTGTTTTGAAATGTTGTTTTGCCGGGCGCGCATGGGAGCTCGACCGCGAGGCAATATGGCGGCAAGATGGTGGGTAACCGCCTGGCCGCAGTCCAGGCAAACTTACGCATTCCTCCTCTTTTTCCATGCCTGAGGGCATTTGGGGGACCGCTCGGTTGATCGCCGAGTAGTCCGGGAGGTCCGGGAGCTCCTCCGCCATGTATATGGGCATGGGCTTGCTGGCGTCCAGGGCCCTCGCCCTGAACGAAAGCTTGGACATATTTGTTGACAGCACAAAACACACGACAGGGCCAACATAAAACGCGCCCGAAAACGGCCTTCCCGCGTCTCGGACCGTCCGAGACGGACACTAAACGGTACTTCGCGGTCCTTAGTTTGTTCCCATTGTTTTTGTTTACACGCACTCAGTCACAAATACAGTAAAACAACTTTGAAACTTTGCATGTTGAGCGTGTTATACAGAAAGCCATCATGGCGGCTCTGTCATGGAACCATAGAAATTTACTACCAACATGCAGTGCGCGGGAACCATTTACGCACTAGTCTGGAGGGTGGTTCATTCATGCCGAACTCGATCAGCACACTCAAATCGACATAACAACTCCAAATTTTGCATCGAATACACCCTTAATTCCCTCAAATTACATCCAACAACGAATTACACGATCTACAATCGTAAAACACGCAGAAAACGTCATTTCAAAACACCAGACAGTTGCTGATTTGACTCATCCGCAGCCGAAGTTGCTGTCGCGCGCTGTGTCAGCGATGACAGCCGAACTCAAAAATTTGCAGAAATCTTCCAATACACTTTACCTCTGACGGAGGCTCATAGGCCTTTTGCTAAAAATGATCAAAAAGGCGATTTTAATCAGACTTGAAATATCTAAAAATGACCACTTTTGTTATAAAGTTATTGGTAGGTAGAGCCATCTGTGATTTCTAAACCTAAGTATAAACAAGCTAGCAAGAAACCTATAACATGGTATGTCAACTTTACTTCAAATATAACAGATGGCATTAAATTATGAGGAACTGACAAGAATGTGTCACGTGTCAGTTATATGTCATATGTCAGTTTATATAATGAGCATCACAAAAATATTATTTCTCTAAATACTTTTGGAAACAACTTCCGGGCTAATAAAACATATTTCCCACACAATCTCTCTTTTTGTTCTATGCACATAATCGACATTTTTGTGATAAAGTTTTGCTCTGTGAGGTTTTGGGGCCCAATATGAGATTAGGCTTTAATTACTCAATTAAAGGTAACACGCTTTAGTGGCTAACGCCCCATGAAACCCCGTCTTCGTCTGGCACCTCGTCGTGGTGAAGGGGCCCAGTACCTTGGGACTCGAGGGCTCAGCGTGTGGGTTCTTGGGTACAAAGGGAATCAAAGAACAGCCCGGAATCACCCCGGGGTTTGTCTGCAGTCGTGAGACACTGGAACCACCATAAATGGGACCCTAAATCTCACAGAAAAGGAGGGCTCAACGGGCTCGGCTTCTCGCGGCTGGGCTCTCTTTAGAGGGCTGAAGCTGGGTCTGGGGGCCGCTTAACACCGTGGTGATGCCACAACGCTTCCATGCAGAAGCTTGCACGAGATACTTGCCACCTCTTCGGTGTGACTTTCGGGGGCACTGAGCTTTGTCAGAGGCACAAAAATAATGAATAAAAAAAAACATGAAAGATCGTCTTGCCGTTATGTTGTCTTATAAAATCGCACTTGTAGCGTTTATACGTATCATAATAGATAATCTCTTTTCGTCACAATTTTTTGTCCACAAATTTAAATAAAACATTACTTTAAATTTAAAGTTACTGTTTTTCATTTTCCACCTTGCACATTGTGCCTACACTCGTATTATTCCATAAAAATGTCAGAAGATTCTTTTTATTTATCTTTTTATTGTTAAACTTAATTTCATGTTTTTATCTCATTATTTCTAAAAAACAAGTTTTTAAATGGGAGAATTTTATTGTTTGCATAATTTCTCTAAAAGCAAAATTTCCATATTTATAAATTTTTTCTAATCTGCAAATAGGATGTTTCTAATTATACAAAAAATGTACACAAATGCATAAGTACTAGCGTAATCCATTAGGTTAAGCACATTTAGGTGTTGTTATTTAAACCCACAATGACTTAAAATTCTATCTAATATTTGCAGATCGTCACTAAAAAAATATTATTCAACGTGTTTATGATAATTTCGATTTAATGTTCACTGCAAAACTATATAAACGAACAATTGCTGGCCTTGTATCATCACTGGTTGTTCCGCATTAGCACCTAACAGGTAAGTCCCCAAAAAGTGAAATCTAAGATTATGTAAACCACAGATCTAAAGTGTGTCTAGAGTATTCTACTCTATCTGAAATCAAAAGATACTTATGATTCATTTGTTTTTTTAACTTGTAACATCTGCTAATGTCACGTATGCGTAACTTTGATACTTTATAGATATTGTTATCTGTATTTCTACAGTTTCAGTTTTATACAACACACCCACATAACCATGAAGCTACTGTTGTTGTTTATTGTCGCAATGTCTGCCTACACCGCTAACTGCGCGCTTACAGACGCTGAAGTTTCACAAAAATTCAACGAATTTAAAGTAAGTAGCAACAGAATTATGTCAATGCCCTCATTGTTAATCATTTGTAGTCCAAATATGGGAAAACATACGCTGATGCGAATGAAGAAAATTTTAGAAAGCAGCTATTTGCAAAGAATCTAGAGAAGATTGAAGAACACAATAAAAAGTATGAGCAAGGGCAAGTCACTTATACCATGGGTGTTAATCAGTTTTCTGATTTAACTCCTGAGGAAATGAGACCTTACACACATGGAGTTCTTCGTCCTCAGAATTAAAGTAGACCGCATTTTATTCTTTATATATTATGTACTTGTTACAATGGAAATAATCAAATAAAGCTATTGTCAACAAATGTTGTTTATTTATCGATTAGTGATGCAATAAATAATTTCCACTTGTTTAGGTATGCAACCAACTTTACAGAAAAAAAAACATTAATGCGAGAATAAGATCGAAATTGCGAAAATGCAAATTATACGAGTGGGAGAAGTGTAAAGTTTAAATATAGGATTTATCTCCATGATGTGCTCCAGTAGGAATTACAAATCGAGTTAGTTTTTCTGAAGGACGCTAGGCGTTGCGACGCATAACAGTGCATTTAACGATTTAAGAGCAAGTAAGAGAATCTCTAATACCACCTGGGCACAAAGCACAAAATTAATCAAGGCGCAGCTTTTTAAAGCTTCCTACAACAATTAAACAATTTGCATGTTGCTCTTAATTTTTTACACAACGGCAAAAAATCACAATTTTACAAAATTGTAATAAAACATTTAGAAAAAAAAAATGTATGCATAAAAATAGTTAAACTAAAAATAGATAAAATTTGTGAGTCAGGTGTGGCAAATCGAAAACATCTTAAGATCGAAGATCTCATATTATTTTTTATTTACTGAAATTAATTGAATTCACATAGGAAGTGGAAAAATTTTGGGAATACTTTGCTGTATTTGTTTTTATAGTTTAAAGATAAATAAAAATAAAAGATTGTTGACTATTTAGTTATGATTGCCGGTAAATTTTTATTTTAAACAAAAATTCGACTATGTGTATCTTAAAAAGTTAAGCAATTGACTGAAATTAATAAATAAAACTGCATTTTAAAGCCAATACGTTTATTGTACGTCGATTTTATTTTGAACCACACTGTATATAATTTTTTGTGTGTGAAGGTAGGCAACTAAAATAACAGAAGCGTGTATTTCTGGTTGCGGACATTTCACACAATTAATATTTAAAAAACTAATATTTTTGTTCTTAGAAATATCAGCTATTTTTATTTAACAAAAAATACAAAAGTTATCAACATTTTATCTTCTTTTTCTTGAAAATATCAAATATTCATTATTTTTTTAGTTCACCACAGCCATAATGTCAACAGAATTAACTGAAGACGTAATTGAAGAAAAATGGAATGAATTTAAAGTAACTTTCGTTTGTACAAACTTGCATTTTCATTATATTTGAATATTTTCAGGCAAAATTTCGCAAAAACTACTCCGATGCTGAAGAAGAAAGTTATAGAAAAAGTCTCTTCGTTGTAAATTTGCAAATGGTAGAAAGTCACAATGAAAAATACGAAAATGGATTGGTCAATTACAAGATGGGAATCAACCAATTTGCAGATTACTCCAAAGAAGAAATGCCATGTCGACATAAATAAAAAAATATTAAATGTGTTTCAATTTTACATGATGTAATGTTAATTTTTTACCAAAATTTATTTGTCTTTACTTAATTGACCAATTTCGATATATTTGATAAACTGTATTGTATTCGTATTGTATTGGTGATGTAATAACATTAAACGTATCTTCTCAATCATAAAGTAAAGTTCATCTTATTTCTCCACAAAACAAGTCTTCACAATGATTACTCAAGAAATACCTACCTATTTATTTATTTTATACGCTATACAATTGTGCTTGTTCTTTGGTGGCGCAATCTTGTTATTATTGTTGTTATTAAGAGTTGAAAGAAATGTTGTTTTCATTCTTTTACACTTTTCCCTCATATTCCAAAAGTTAAAATCGTAGGTACATGATGAGAAAAATTTCTGATACAATAATTGAACAAAATTGTTCATAAAATTAGTAAAAAATAGAAAAATCTTCTTCAATTAAAATTAAAATGTGGTAAACACAATAAAATCAGTCAAAGTAAACAGAAAGAGATTGGGTTTTCGCAATTTTATATCTATATTAAATCCACGAGTGATTTCAATATCGAAAACGCAAAATTCAATTTCTTCGAGTTTATTTTTGATTTAAATCCTTTAAAAAGTTAAGTTTTCGGTGTAATGTTTTTATTTATTTCAAAAATTTGCTCTTAGCTTCTATAAACATTTTGTTCTCAATTTAGCTAATGTTTATACAAGTAGTTAAAAACTATAAATTGAATTATAATTTTTTTGCAACTGGAGAAGCAATTTAGTTACCACCTTCAATCCTTTCAATTTAACCTAATGTCCTTCGAGAAAATGGGTGAAATTCATCGTTTAAAAAGATATATAACAAATGTAGATAGTTTTTCTTGTAATATAAAAATTAATGAATTGTGCATCTTCATTGTCTTTTTATTGTCGGATGTTTTATATTATTACCAAAAAAATACCATTCACCTTCTATTTATTTCATCATTTAGTCTTTAAAAAGTCAAATATATCTCTGGAAAATTGATAAACAAACTTTTTGTTATCATTTCATATCATATTACTATAAAAAATGTGTTACCCATTTGGGAATTTTTAAACAACTTACTTTACATTAAATTTATATTTATTTAAATTATATTTATTTTGTTAATATATTTTTGGATTTCGGTGCAAAATACAATTGAAAAAATAATAACTTAAATGAGCATAAAACATGTAAAATACCATCTTCAATTTTTTTTAATGAATTAAGAAACAATCCGAATTATTTAAAAAAAGCAGTTCACATAGAAAAAAAACATACAACTGGCGCTAAACTAGAATGGCAATACAATTTGTTTATACTGTACTACTCTCTATTCTACATATACAATGTGAGACATAATTAACTGTCAAAATTTGTACCTAAGCTTCTTCAAACTAAAACAAAGCAATTATTTTAATACATCTTGGAACCAAAATGCTTTCTTAAAAAGATACAGAAAATTAATAAAAACATTTTTATTTCTATACCTAAATTGGAAACTAATTATTTGATTAATTTGAAAATACATTATAATAAACACAAAACTTACAATAACGAATAAAAACAATAGATCACTATAGGAAATCTTCAAAGTGCTATCCTTAGAACTTAGAAGCTTTAGTTATAATTTTTTACACCTAATTATGACTCACACTGTATACTTTACTTATGTATACCTACTTAAAAAACGCAATTATACAAACAACAAATCATGAGCATAAAACATTTAAAACACTATAAACAAAAATGTAATTATTATTTTTTGTTCATTAAAATTTAGAAATGATCACAACCCGGAAACTTAAAGAAAAAATAAGAAATTGGTATCAACTCAAAATTTGTATATTCATGTATCTGTAACTTTATTTCTACAATTACTTTTAAATACGTAACAGAAAAATCAGATAATTCTCTTCTTTGTATTCTGTATTTAATCATATTATGAGATGAATGGCAGCTTACAATAATGTTGTGTGAGAGAGTGAAGGGTTGTGTTAGATTACTGTACATATTCACAGTGTTTCATAATAATCAGCGCCGGTTTCACTTTACAAATACAGTAGAGCTCGGAACAATTTTTTTTCAAACTCCCTTTAATCCGGAATTGGCCTTACCTCTTTTGTTGATATTCTTAGAAGTGATAAAAATCTATTTTTTCTTCGTGCTTGGAGTATTGTGAGTAGTCTGTCAACGTACGTAAAAGACATACAAGGTGTCCCACCAAATTGAAAAAGTCCATTAGTGACCTTTAAATGGGACAATTTAAAAAGAATTTGTATAAATTGTATAGGACATTGATAGATACTAATCTAGTCCATCGCCTAAAATTATTTTCAACTATACAGCGTGTCTCAAAAATAAGTTACAATACAAACTTGTGTTTTTTTAAATGAAAAACCATATGTTTCTTAGCGTTCTTGGATGTAGACTTTTGTAACAATGTTTTTAAGCTAAACTTTTATTGGTCGATTTTGCTTAGTTTTAAAAATAAGACGGTTTTTTGACGAAAACGTGCACTTTAAAAAAAAAAAAAATACACAAAAACTAAGACATCTAGAAATATTTTTTTACTACCTCAAAGAAGAAGGTACAAGGTCTCAGGCTGTAACATTTATTTTTTAGTGTGTTGCATTTGCAAAGATAAAAAAATGAAAACGTTTGTTAAAATTTCAATAACTTAAAAAAATTAAATGGAACACCCTATTTATTGTTTTTCCAAAATTATTTACTTTTAGGTGTTTAAATCCATAACTAAAAAGGTATTTAACGTTAAACATTAAAAAAAATAATTAGTATTATTATTATTTTTATTTTTACTATAAAATAATTAAAATTTCAGTATTTATAACGACTTTTACAATCTTTGGATAAATCAATGAATAAGTGATGGAATTACTATTACATAGCATCAACAGTGGAAGAAAGTTTTGATAACAGATAAAGTTTATAATTTTTTTAACATAAATTGTAATCTTTTCAAAAAATATTTTTGTACATTTATGAAATGCATGAACATATCTTTGTAAAACAATAAACAAGAAACCGTTTTTATTTAAGAAAATAATTATTAGTATAAAAATCTCAAAAGTTTAAACAATTAATTAAAATAAAAATTATTTTGGCATCGCTCCTTTACAACCTTCAAACATTTATTAATTTATTTCCAAAAAACCTCTTAGTTTACTCAAAAAAAAATCTTTAATTCTTGTAAGACAAACATTTTTTTTAACAAAAAAGTGTGAGGCTTACAGAAAAAAATTTTGCACAGCAACAATTCTTGTAACAAGTTCGTTGTCTAAAAAAAAATGTGGTAGGTTTTCATTAAAAAAAATTGTTACTATGTTTATCTCGTAAGTATAAAAATTAATTAATAATCAATTATTTTTTTAATAGCATTTTTATGGCCATTGCACACCTATAAATTTATTTGTTAAATAAATTGATAGTTTCGCCAGAATAAAATCGTTTCTAGACTTTTGAACCACCCAGTACAGTTTTTTTTTATTTTACCATTTCAAGGTTACTAATAGAATGTTTCAACTCGCTGAGACACCCTGTATCATTGAAATCGTGAGTAAAATCGAAGAATAAACGTTGTTTTCTTGGAAAAAAAGCTTGAAGCCATCCATCAATCGGATGAACGAAAGAGAATCCCTTAAAAAAATAGCGTCGTATGTAACTCAATAAATGTTACCTAATATGAAAATTATCAATTCTTGGCATTAAAATTTTTGAATTATCCGAAATTTTGGCTTATCCGGAAAAGGACCGGTCCACAAATCGGATGAACAAAAGAAAATCCCTTTAAAAATTTGCGTCGTATGTACATGTAACTCGATAAATGTTAATATGAAAATTATCAATTCTTTGCATTGAAGTTTTTCAATTATCCGGAATTTTGGCTTATCCGGAAAGGGACCGGTCCACATTAGGTCGGATAATCGGGGTTCTACTGTACTTATGACTAAAACTCCCCCATCTCTATTAAAAATTCAAATAAATTCATAATTTTAACCCCGCGTTGCATTCCCAAGACCGCATATGTCCCAGAAGCTTGGCTAAGATTTTTATCATCAACAACAACAGCACATGTTTTACGATTGTATAGTAGGTGCAATATAGGTAGGTAGGTGATTGCGACATTGTTGGGTATTGTTTATCCTTCGTGCGCACTCACCTCTAGCCTTAGGTGGGGGATGAACGAGCATTGTCGTTCACGTTGTTCACCTCTACGGACACGCTTCTGATATTTCCGCGCCGCTTTTCGAACTAGGTCGCGAAGAAAACAAACATCCTCCGAAATCCTGACAGTGCGATTAAAAAAAGTGAGAAGGGAAACAATGTGAAGATGTGCGAGAGTGATGCCAATTTGCGAATAGAGGAGTTCGGCGATTTGCCGAAGAAACCCTTCGTTCGAGTGAGTAGGAGTTTTTTGTGTCTTTTATCACTTTAGAAATTCTCGCGGATAAGAAACAAGGCTGTAATTAGTCGCGACAATGGCTGAGTTTATTCGCGCGATATTTAAGTGGAACACTTGTAAACATTAAAGACAAAACAAATCACGGGAAATTTGGTTAAACGAAACAACTTCATCTCGAACAATTTCTGATCTATTCTGTGGAATCTCGCAGTAAAAATCGACCACATTTGTTTATAGTCGAATGCTCCTTCTGTTCGCATAATGAGAGTGCTTCCGTGATGTTAAATCGTGATGGGCAACGAGATGCTCTGATGCATTTGACACAGATAACATCCTGTGTTGCCAAAACTTGAATAATTTTTTTACTTTTTCTTGATTTATCTTCCAGCCTCAACCCAATTATATAAGAGTCGATCTCTAGAATTTTTAGCCGCCAGTGAAAGTGGTACTGTTATTAAGGTTGGGTAAAATAATAAGTTCACTATGTCAGTCTGATTTTTGCATGACCCAATCACTTGGTATACATTCAAGAATGCGCCTTTTAATAACCTTCGTTAAAATAATGATTTTCTCGCACTTCACGCTCGATAGAACTCTTATTAATGTTGTTGGTATGTTTGAGATCAACAAGAATGACGCTTTCTTATTATTTTTATCAACGTTGCGGAAGATAAGGAGCAAAGTCATTCATTAAAAATAATTAATTAGTAAGAGATAAATTCG